CATGCTTGCGCGGCTTGGGCTGTTAGCCGTATTTGTTGTTGTACGCAAATAATCCTGTCGTGTCATGTGCAAAAGCTTAAATTATCTGGTTTTACGCGTGGTTGAGGTGTCCCATACAGTGTTTGCCAAGTTCTATCCAAACGGGCAATGTCTTTTCCCACTGTCCGATTAAACAGGTTCGCGCCACGCGCGGGTAGACGTCGGTAACTTTCGCGTGACATATCTGTCTGCCAAAGCACGGCTGCGCAGATTTCCGGTAAAACGTCATGTTCACTTTCGGTCAGGTTCCCCGCACGAGTTCCAGTCTAAATAAATAACGCAACTTTTTTTTTTTTTTTTTCGGTGTACATTAGGCACATATTTATGTCGCGAAGAGACTTAAAGAACCGATCTCTATGACTATGTCTGGGTCGCACTTCGTCGCTCCGCAAATGCGGCCACCGTCGGCCATCGTACGACATTAGCTCTTCTGCTATCAAGCCTAGACAGTTACCATGGTTTTCCATTTGTAGGTGACGTGACAACAGAGGCAAAGTTCACATGACCAGTCTCGACAACGCTTTAGCAGATGTCCTAAGATGGCCAACCGGTGGCTTCAATCGCGCACTGGGATTGAAGCGGAAAAGCGCGATCCAGCAATTGTCATAGATGGGATTTATATTGGGCGGTATATCGCGCCCCCTAGGAGTAAACGAAAAACATTTTAGTGAGATAAAAAAAATAAAAGAAAATCGTAATTGTCTTTTATCGCTTGTCGGTTGAGGACCCGAGGAGTTGGGTGAAGGAACGAGCCGATCAAAAGCATTGATAAAAAAGGAGAAAAGAAAAATACACGGGAGGAAAGAACGCAAATCGCTCGCCGGTGGCTTTACTCTCCGCATGCTCCGCGGTGATTTCTTTTTGTGGTAAATCGCCGCCCTCTCGGTGCGCACGCGTGTCGAATCGTAATACCTGTGGGGAGAGGGGGGAGGGACGCTGCAGGTGGGCAGGTGTCGGTTTGTCGAAAGGGAACCGCCAAGACGCAGGAATGCGCCGGCCAGGAGGGACAATAGAGCCGATAGAGCGCCGGAACAGTGAGAGGAGAAGCGGCTGAACGGCGAACGCAATGGTAGCGCAGGAGGCGATCTCCCATCAGCGCCAGCGGACCTTGCGGCCTCTTCCCAAAACGCATTTGTATTCCTTTTTTTCTTGAAAAACACATAAAGAACAACCACAAAGACAAGAACATAGACGAGTACGTATCTTTCAACTCGCAACAAACATTTAACCAAACGCAGTGGCGGAGAGGCAACGCATCAACGATGCAGCGACCGTTGCACGGAGGAAGAGAAGGGTGTACGCTAGGCCAACGTCATATTTCGAACAGGGGTGTTTTCGGATTTGACCGCACGCGCTGTGATGGCACCACCAGGAGATCCCCTCCAGGACGCTTTCGGCATCTTCTTCTCCATCTGTGCTTTCCCTTTTTCCGTTACCGGTTTTCTTTAGGTTTTTAACAGGCTTTCTAGTGTATAGGAGCTTATGGTGAGGTGTAATCTTTTCTTTCTCCCTCTCTTTCTTGATTGAATAGAAGTGGGAAGGGAGAAAGGACTAAAACATGTTGTCTGGGGCTGGTGCTGTTGAAAAGGAAGCGACACCTCTATGGTTGGTTGCAATTCAGGAAGGTAGGGCGAGGGTAAGATGTGGCCAGAAAGGAGGAAGCTGGCGGAACGCAGGAGGTTGCTTCCTCTCCTCTCCAGCGTTCCGACTGCTTCCTCCCCCCCTCCCCCCCCCCCCCCCCCCCCCCCCCCCCCCCGGCCTGTCTTACCCTCGCCCTACCTTCTTGCAGAAGGCCCCCAGCCCCCCCCTCCTTGTTCGTGACTTAATTCTTTGGAAGGTTTTGCTGGATCTTTATCCCACCTCTTTGCATCTTTGCACATGTCCTGTCCTTTAGAAATGTTTTACGAGTTCCTGAGCGGCAACCCATCAAAGGTGCCCGGATGATGAGTGCTGGTGCGAGGGTTTGGAGGGACATTCACAATTTCTATTGAAGGGAGCTTCCATAGAGTTATTGAAATGTTGCTGTGTTATGGAAGGTTACTGGACTCTCAAGTACCCACTTGCGTTTGGGAAAAAGCATGTGTTTTATCACTTCCACTCTTTTATTGTCTTTGTATTTCACCGATTTATTGTGTTATTTCTGTTCACATAATGAATGATTCGTTGTCAAGCATGTTCGACTTTAGCTAACTGTACATGAGTGTTTTTGCTGCATTAGGGGGGTGGGGTGTTTCCAGCATCAATGTTCTTCTATTTCCATTGAAATTTGCAGGTGTATGTTTCATTCCTTTGCTGCAGTTTTTTTGTGGTTAGTAAGCTTACACCAAATTCTGCGAATGTTGATCGCTTACGTTCTTTACTTCCTGATTTGTATATTCCTTGCACCATAGGCTACGAGCGAGCAGAATTTTCTCCCTTACGTTGCTGCATCTACAACCCTTTCCGCATAACTTGGCAAATTATAGAAGCTACATACTCAATGAGCCAGTAAGAGTGGCATAGCAAAGCATGTGTCAATGCACGAGTGGATTCCCAAGGTAGCTTGTGTGTGTCTTGGCTCCTGCTTCGGCCTTCTTATTGGCACACAGGAGCCATAGCTACGCTGATACAGAGTAGAATAGTGCAGATCTCACGCCATAATAAATGCCGGAAACGTGCCCACCTAAAATGAACCACAAAGCGCTTACTAGACACATGCACTGCTCAGCCCAACAACAGTGTGAGTCAAATAAAGAGGGACTGGATCGCACTGATATGACAACACTGATAGCACAGGAGGAACCTTCTCGACGAGATATGTTTTCCACTGTGTTTGCCTTGCAAGGGACCGCACGCACGACAGCCCCTTTTCTTTGCATCAATAAAAAGAAGGAAGGCATGAGATGTCTCCAGCTCTTGCAGCCTTGTCTCACAGGCCATGATAAAGGCTGCCATTGTGTCCCTCAGGAGTGGAAGATGCATTGTCTTAGAGCATCTCTCCTCAAAGTCCCCCCCACTTGCTTGGAGCCCTCTTGAGATAACAATAGGCAGAGGGGGGGTAGCGCGGGCTTGTCGATGTCTTAGGGACGAGTTGCAATCGATTTAGGAGGGCTCTTCGTGAGAGGAGGGTGGCAAAGATTAGCTACACTCCTGGATTTTGATAGGAAGCGAACGAAGGGGATGAGACCATCTGTTCGAAAGGAGCGTATGGTCCCGCATTTGTCTGTCACTTGTCGTTCAGAAGGAGATCTTTGGCTGTGGAGTGGGAGGGGGGCACTCGAGGTTACGAGATTAGTTCTTCGTTGTTTGTTTGTCATTGTTTTATGACTGTGCACGCTTTGACGTGCTTCAGCCACTGGCCTTTTTGTCTTTTGGTGTTTTTAAAAGTTACATCTTCTTTCAGTGGAGAGGAGGGGAGATCTGGATAGTTGGAAGGTGTAACAGATTCGAGCTTGTCTGAGTAGTGCAATAAAAGGAGGTTTAGCAGTTTCATGTAGGCTTTTTTCTTTTTTGTCGGTGGAGTGTAATTTGTTATTTTGGTCTTGGATTGGGAACTATGCTGTCTGCACTGAAAGCTTGCAGTGGACGGTGTTTTGCGGCACACCGAAGCAAAAAAATGTTTTCGAAGGGCAGACAGTCGTTTTGTTCCCGTTCTGCTCTTTTTGCGACAAACAATGTAGATTTGCTGATACCTTTTGCCAGTGACAACCTGAGGTCTCAGTTTCCAGTGTACACGCTTATGTTGCTACATAAGGTTGTAATTTGTGAGCACATCCTTATGGGACATCTGCACTTTTTGCCTTCTGCCATATGTCTAGGGGCTTTGATTGATATTTATTGTTGATCGGCGTGCTTAGTAAAAAGACATTTTGTTTTCGGCGTGTTGATCCTCACATGCATTAGGGACAAATGTGCTGAAGGAGTTACAGTGAGGTCACCAATCTGCCTAAGAGATTAAATATTGAATTCTGGTGGTTTTATTGGGAGGCGAGGAAAGCACTAAGTTAGTTGCTGGTTCAGCTGTCAATTGTTGTTTTTGATTGGTATGAAAACATTTTAGTTGGAAGTCATGTTCTTTCTACTCACTCTTGGTTTTTAGTTATTTTTTTTTTTAATTATGAAAGTAATGTGCAATACTGTTATTCCACATTATTTGCATGATTGTATTGAAAGAAGCAGACAAATGCATTAAAGGTGACATGACCTCTGTCTCATTCTTATATGGGGGGGGGGGGGGGGGGGGGGGGGGGGGGTTGCATCACAGAAAGTTGGCATGGGCGAGTGTTGGTGCGAATTTCGCTCGGGTGATTTTCACTGTAAATAATATACGAGGGTTCCTGTATAGAACCGTAACCCAATTTATTACGAGGCAATTTTCATAAATGTGATGTGGAAATCTTGCACTAAATGACTTCCCACATTTAGCGAACGACTTCCAATTTAAGGGTTTTTTTATGCTTAGTGATCTCGCTGAGAATATTTTTTCTTTCTGCTTTTATGAAGGAAAAAAAAAAAGGAATGCAATGTTCAAAGATGATGTAAATATACAACAATCAAGGATGATCTAAAAACTGAAATGCCAGTGACCTGAACTATCCCAAAGGCTGGTTCACAGTTTTGCGAGCTTGTAAGCACTTACAACTAAAGAAAACACTGGTGCCATCTACCAGGTATAGCCCAAACCTAGCCTGAAGGTTTTTCAGTTCATGAGCACTACAATATATGGTCCTTTTATATATTGTCAAAATTATTTTAAGCATACATTGAAAGAATGACGCGTGGCGGATGGAAATTGTTTTAGGCCTACCCGACATATGGCATCATTGTGTTCTCTCGTCAAAGGTGTGCAAATCCCTAAAGGCAAATGTGTAAATCAGGCTTAACTGAATGCCCCTTGTGGGGCTACGTGCTGCTCTCGTGTAAACGCAGGTTCTATGATGGGCAAAAGTGAAGTAGTTTGCTCTTCTCATTTCGTTGCACAGATAGTCGACAAGATGCAGAAGAAGCTGTCGGGCTACATGTGGCTGCTGAACCGGAGCTCGGACGTGGTGGAGGAGTTGTTTCGGTTTCGCCAGAGGCTAGCCCTGCCTGCCGTCAACCCCTGCTGTCTCATCGATCCCAGCGTGCTGACGTAAGTCGCCTCAGCGCACGTCCGTTGGCACCTAGTAGGTGTGCTTGAACTGCTAAATGCTGCTCTTTTTTTAATTTTAATTTTTTTTTTTATGGGGGATTGGTGATTGAGATGGTTAGCACACTGTAGTTCAGAGCATGTGAAGTGAAAACTCGTGGGGACCCTGGGTTCAATCCCCACCCCTGCCCGTTTCGACGTGGACGAGCATTATACCGACGTTCAGTCGTGTCTCCCTCCACTGCGCAGCTTACGTGAAGGGCTTCAGGCCAGCAGTGGTGCTGCACCGACTGACTTTCTCATCTACGGTGGAGACACCGGACACCCGTTGCGACCGACTTTCCGCTATCTGAGCACACACACAGCATAAGTATTGCTGAGCGCTTAGCCGTTTGCACGATGTTACGAGTCAAGAAAACTGCGTGGCTGTTACAAGTTAAATACAAAGCAGCATTGGAATTCTAGAGGAACTGACGGCTGGGCGTGGCTTGTTATAATAAAAATAATAATAATAATAATTCTTCATTATTCCGTGCTTCAGAACGACCGAAGCCTCGATGTGAAGCACGTTTGTGATTATACAACTTGCACAACACGCAGATGGGATAACGATGAGGTTACGACGAGTGAAGCAAAGTTTCGAGCTTTTATTTAAAATACACATCATCTGTAAGGGCGTCTGAAGACGTATTTGGTGAAATGACACTGAAAAACACTTGCATGCGCTCAACCCTCACGTTCGCCTCTCTTGCTTCGTCATTCAGTCCTTGGCATTCTTATTGGCTAGTGCCGCATTCTCTTTGACTTCAAAGCAATGATGAAATGCTCAGGAATTCTTATACCCTGCATCTCTTGAGCTGCAACAGTGATGACAGCAAACTTTTAAGATGTGACCCCTGAGACAAAGAAAAACGAAAGGAACAGTGTGACTCGGAGTTCAGATTGTTATTGTTCCTATGCTCCATTTCAGCTTAGAGAGACGCCTCCTGGGTATTTATGCTCACCAAGGTTTTTTTTTAACATGACCTATAGGAGCCCAACCACCCAGGACACAATTTGCTGCTCGAAATTTGTTTTCTTTCCGTTCGAAAATAGCCGGTCGAGAATTGACTGATTTCAGTTGTGCTCACTTTCTTTTTTTGTTCACGCAGCATTCAAACTATGTGTACCAAATATATTCAAAGTCGTGGTTCATCTAAATAATATGAACCCCATTTTTGTGGCCTCCAAGAAGCTGCAAATACGTTGATCGAAGAAAAAGGTTGCACAGATCACGGGAAGTATGTGTGCACGTCGTTCTCAATGTGGCGACGTACCGCGGGCTGGACGACGCGATGGCGGTGCACGACGGATGTGGGGCCGCTACTCCGTAACCGTTGTTTGAGGTACCGGCCAATCGACCTTCAAGCGAAGAACATCGAGCGGAAAGGATATAAGTGTGAAACAATCGCATGACAACCGGTACACGCAACTTCGTCGACGTCGTCATCTGTTTCAGACGCCAAAGAAGCAGAGGGAAAAAAAAAAAAAACTTGGGAGACGCTTAAGCTTCGCCTTTAAAAGTGTAACGCAATAGCGTTATCGTGTCCCGTTTGCAAACCCTTCTCATATAAATGCGTGCTCATTGCTAAGCTGTGCAAGCGTGTGCGTGGTCTAGTCGGTAGTGTCACGTGTCACGTGACATCACACGTGGCTGTGACGTCATGACCCTATGAACCACCAAAATCTGGCACGAAAATTTTCTGCTAGACTTAACGTGTAAATGTTTCTGCCAAATTTAGCGAGTAAATCCCGTAATGCAACGTGCTCAGCCACGTGTAACTCACGTGGCTGTGCACGTTGCATTATGGTATTTTTCGGTCCCGCTGACGCTGGACTTTCTGCGACATGGAACTCCTAAACGCTATCATGTTCATAAAAAATGCGGTCAGGCGTAGCCACGTGATTTCCGTAGGCTATGTGCTCGTGTTTCGACTTCAGTTTCGAGCAGTTGAGTTTTTCGGCTTTATTAAAAATATACGTGACTCTGTAGCAAAATATTGATTGGGTAGTCTCCTGACACCATATTAAATGAAAGAAGAAAAATTAAAAAATAAAAATTTTTGGGGGGTATTAGTGCCTCGTTAAATCCAGACCACGGTGTAAAATGTGTATATATAGGCGTGGACACTGCGTGCACCACAGCCGCCAGATAGAGTCCTCTGCTCAAGCCAGCTTCCATCAAGGTCAGAGCAGACGCTCCAAACTGAAAAAGTCTGTGCCCAAGGCCACTCATCTTTTTTTTTTATTATGTTTCTTCTTTTTTTTTTTCTCTCCCTCGTATCACCTGGACGCCAGAGAGACTGTGGGCTGAGGCTACTCGGGACGCGCTGGGCTGTGTGTCCTCGCCTATATATGTATTTTACACCATTGTCCAGACGCACCCGACGCCACGAGGTAACGGGACCAATCAAGCAGCGTCGAAAACGCAAGTCACAATGCCTTCCCTGTACATTATTGGTCAAGCGACCATAGAGCAGGTTCATAAACATGACAAACACCATGATGGTGCACTTTTGACGCTGTCTGATCGGTCCCATTAGCTTGTAGCGCCATCTGCGTCTGTACTTAAGATGAAACAAAGGATAACCAGTTAACTTAGTCTTCTAGCGGATTTTGCCTGATAATTTGTACAAAACATTTCTATTGCTTTAATTATGTTATTTTGCAATAAAACTCTTTTTAATGTTGTTCTTTTTTCTTTTATTTTTTTAGTTGGGTTACGATTTTTAAAATTTTTCTGTTGAGTGTGTAGAGAGTGACCACCGAAACCCGACGTTACCTCGTAACCTGACATTACCTAGTCGCGTTAAGTTCATTCTACCTACTTCATTAATAGTTGTCTTTCAGGCAGCACAAGCAGTAAATACTTGTTCGACTCTTCAGTGCATTTTTGCTTGATTACATGATTTTTATGTGTTTTTTTTTTCCTAGATGTTTTATCAGTAACTTTACTTTTATGTGTATTACTATCAGAAAACTTTGTTGTGTTTCCTAGCCAGGCTCAATGAGAAATGTTAGTATAGCTCTACTTTCCATATCCATGCTTTTGTTGCAAGAAAAAAAAAATTAGTATATATATTTTTAGAAGATCCTCTGAAGCATGATACTTGTGTTTTGTATGTCAGGCAGGAAAGTTTTGGCAGCCAAATAAAGAAGGGCAATGACAAAGCAGAGAATTACCTTGTGTGCCAGCCTGCTTTGACTACTTCCAGTTCTCACAGCGAAGATCTCTCTCGTGTTTGTCTAGGATGGACACCCACTTTGGCACGGAGATCACCAACTCCACAACGTGTGACACGGCACCGACGTCCCTACCAAAGGGACTCTTCAGCCCTGGCCCAAACCTCACCGACGGTGAGTTCGTCTCATCCGATCGGCTTGTGTCGACTGGTGCCGTACCGCTTTTTTAGACGGATGTCCGGACAGACTCGGAACTGTTACATTCCTTAACGATCGAAATCCAAAATTATGTATTTATTTATTTATTTATTGAAATATCTTAAAGGTCCTTTAGGTAATGGACAGCTTCTTTAGAAGCTGTCCTTTACCTTTTGGTAGAACAGTTCCCTTAGAACTTTAAAAAAAGCAACCACGTGGTTTATTCCTGCTTTGTATTGTGAAGCTCAAAAGGCGACCGGGATGTAGGGAGGTCCCTCCGTTTGTTGTCCCTATGGAGGAAAGAAACGGAGGGGAGTGGTAAGCTATGAAAAAAAAAATGTAAAAAGAACCTGCATTAGATGGGGTCACAAAATTGTGCTGATGTTGCGTGGTCTGAGTCACGCCTTTCAACATAGTCGGGGTCCCGAATGAGGTTGGAGAGTGTGATGGCACAGACTTGCGTGAAACCCCAAACGCACGAACGACGAAAACAGGTGCTGCACAGTGGTCAGCGTGGCAACCTCTGTAAACGCTGCGATGTGGACCTATGCCATGCTGCCACGCCTTTGCCTTGTTGTGTGAGAGCTGTCCGACTTAAGTTGCTGTTCCGCATTGCAATTCCCCGAGTTCATTTCTCGTTACCGCAGTTACAGATTGCAGTGTGGGTGTTTTTTGCAAAAGTTGTATTGAGTAGTATTTCAACCATTTCAATTGAGACAAAAGAGGTTTCATGCAACGGCATCCTTTATCAAAATGGAGTGGTATGCTCGTTGTTTACATATATTTAAATAAGCAGAGCACCAAAGTAGAAGGACCTGAAAACAGCGCTTGTCCTGTCTTCCGCTCCTACTACTACTTTTTTTTTCCTGATTATTTTGAAATGGCGGACTTGTGTGGCGCAACAGGCTTTTGGGTGATAAGCAGTCATTGAGTCCTCCTCGCCTTGCCTTTGGCCGCAGTGTTCCGGAAAAACTTGGAAGCACGTCCGTCCATCAAGTGGCAGTACTTTGTGTCGACCGCGGGGATCCACACAGAATTCCCTGCGTACAGCACAGTGAGGAAATGGTCCTGTAAACACGTGGACGACCTTCGACACAGGTACCGTTGCTTTCCACGACCCGCTGCATCACGTGCAGTTATATACTTTTTCTCCGTCTATTGCTGGTGGTTATGATACTCGAGTACACTGATTTAATTCTGTTGCCTGAATTGTGTTTATTGCCATTCGCTCGTTAAAATATAAAACTTTGTGGGCACTCGTCTAAGCTAGTGTGATAAGCCCCTAAACTAAATATTTTATAAAGTTTGACTCTTAATCCGGTTGTAGAACATGTTTCAGATATCTAATGTTTCAATGGCAAAGGAGTAGGGGCGGTGAAACCTCCATTAAACTTCACAAAATCATCTCCAAACCTCTATTTAACTTAGCAAGATTAAACTCTACATTTTTCAGAAATTTCACCAGTCAGAAATATTAGGAAGATTTAGGCTCCTACGAGAATCAAGTCTTATGAACTACAGTTTACTGAGGTTAGTGGCATATGTAAGTTATGCCAGTAGTTTATTGTGTCAGGTAGTCTAGTATTTGGAGGGTTAGCCTTACTTCAAATTGGAAGGTTTCTTTATATGCATTCATAAAAGGGCTGCAGTTCATGGGCTCTTAGCTAAACATCCAAGCATTGGTTACTGCATTAGCACGGGCTTTTCTGTTACAGTACTCTAAGATGGAGGTTTCTGAGTGACTCTTTGTGCCGTCGCGTCTTCCAGGCGACCGTTCGCCTGGAAGACGCGACTGCAAAGACGAAAATTAATTAAAGGCAGTGTTTCGGGTTGCACGTCTAACCGTTGTTTTTTTGTTTTTGTTGGATCAGGGACATTTACCTGGCCACCATCCAGCCCTACATGAAGCACGTGGTCATTGTAATTGACCATGGGAACTCCCTGAGTCCGAAGCAGCTGATGACCGCCAAAGCAGTCGGGAAGTACGTCCTGTCGACGCTGTCGCACCACGACAAGGTGACCGTCTTCCAATTGTTCTCGCAGTTCCTTGTTACCTATCTGCATGGCTTAGTGTGTACCGCCCCCGAGTGAAATGATTGATGCAGTAATCGTTCAGTGTTTTCTAGCTGAAAGGGTGAGCGAATAAGCGCTCGATTTAGAAAGAGAAATGACATCTGTTAACGCTGGTTAACACATTTGCATTTGAGTGTGTCCTCGTCTGTTTTTTTTTAAATTATTATTTAACTTATAATGACAGCCATCAACAGGCCAAGACAGGAGTAAGTACAAATCGAAAGAATGAATAGTCATAACATAAACACTCTGACTTTCAAAACAATAATTTAAAAACGAGGCTTTTTTTTTAATTACAAATAAAGATGCACTTAAATTAGACGACAGTTTCAGGCAGGCTATTCCATGTAACTGGACCAAAGGTATTGCTGAGTTTGCAGAATCAAATTTCTGCTCTACCAATGAGAAACGATCGTTTATAAGATCATTGAGATTACTTCGACCCCACGGTAAAAAAGTTGGGAAATGCACACCCTGTCTCATCCGGACACAAATCTGCGAATTAACCAGCCTTTACACAAAGCCTTTACGAGTGTGAAGCATTTATCCTGATCACTTCTAAGCCAAAGGAAGAAAATGTTCCATAGTCCCGAAAAGCTGGTGAGAGACCGATTTCATTTTGTGAAACTTTTTCCCCGTGTGCAGGTCGGCCTGATTGGTCTCTCCGACGAGCCCCAATTTCCGCAAAGCGACAAGTGCCTTTCCGAAGACATGGCATACGCGACGTACGAGACCAAGTACCACTTCGGTCGCTTCATCGACGCCCTCCAAAAAGCACCAAGTGAGTCAACGGTCCTCTTTTGAAGCTCGACCATCATTTAGGGGCAGACCCTGGTCTTGAACATTTTTTTGTGATTTTTCACAGAATTCATAATCAGTTTTCACGTCTGCTGTAAATTCTCGTGCTAAGCACAAACAGCTCATTTTTTTCTATTTATTATAGTTTTCCAGTAAACCTAAACTTTGTTACAGATGTTTCTGCCCAACTTTTTTACAATACCTCCATCAAAAAATATGGCACAAGGTATGCTCTGCAAACAGTAGAGAGTGCAACGAAGCCATTGTAATCATTTTAGCATCACACTAAAAAAAAAAAATGGTATTGTGAGTTAAAAAAGTTTTGTTCATAATCAGAAATGAGTCATTAAAGTCTTTTGCCAATTAGAGAACTTTTCATAATTACTTACAGCGCGACTGGGACAAGGACAGATTTGAAGTCGGGGCTCTTGTAAAAAATTAAGAACAACTTGTCCCCTGCCCGCTCCCGCTTTCGCACCGCAGGCTTAACCCAATTCCAATAAAAATGAATAGGATCATGTGATCAAGTGAAAATTTCAGGAAAAAGCCAATTGGAATTAAGGGGTTATAAATGAAACCAACTATTGTATTGTACAGCCAGTGGAACGGCCCGGGAAAACCAGTGGTACTAAAAGTACCGACGTGCTCGACTCACTGTCCGGCTCCGCTACTAAGACATGAGTGCGTCTCACAGCGGGTCCGACGGTCACTGAATGGCAACCATGAACCATCCAGCCCCGCCGCTCAGTGATCACTTTTATATCCCTCGGCTCCCCTGGAGATCTGGGACAAGGACAGACAGAGGAGAAAGTTTCTAAATGTCAGTAACCCACACGGGTGCAGCGCGTTCAGCATCGACGTTGAAGAATTATATTATTCCATGCCACACGACGACCTCATGGTTAGTGTCAGGGAGTGCATCACAGAACAAAACGATGAAAGCGCCTTCAGGACGCGATGCGGGATTTTGGTAGAAGACTTTCTCGAACTCCTGTCCGTTTATTTGAAGTCCACACTCATCGGATGGCAGGACAAGGTGTACATACAGAAGTATGGCGTATGCATAGGGTCTAGAGTAGCTCCTGTGCTCAGTAACATCTTCCTGGGCAAGATCGATCGGGATCTTGAACCCTGCTTGAAGAAAAACACCAAAAAAAAGTGTTTAGGTACGTAGACGATTATTTGGTGTTCGTTGAGAGGGCTAATTTCCAGCAGAAGCTTGACGATGTGCTGAAGAGCTTCACGGAAAAAGGGCTAGGACTTCACTTCACCTATGAAGCCCCAAAACAGAACCTCATTCAGTTCCTGGATCTCCGCATCGAAGTGGGGGACGATCATGTTTGCTGGTGTTACAGTCCCAGAACAGCGAAGGCTCTTCTTAACTTTCAATCAGCCCACTCCAAACTCGTCAAACAAGGCATCGCATTTTCCTGTCTGAGGACTGCTCTAACAAGCACATGCATCCACAATTTGAATTCCAGCTTCATGTCCCAAATTCAACGGCTCAAGGATTCGGGATATCCTAATTCAGTCATTTCTTCAGCTTGCGAAAAAATCGTGAAACACCTTAAGGGGAGGCACTCCCTTGGAGGGTCTAATTTTTGAATATTTGTGCCAGGTCAATGAAATTTTTAGGGTATGTTAAACGTCAAAACTTAGGAGGCTACACCAACTTTCAACCCAAAAGGTTTATTTTTTGACAAGTTACAGCCTCATTCATTGAAAAAAATGTACATGTAGCCGTGCCAAAGGAAAAAAACTATCGTTTCAAAATATGAATAAAAAGGCACAATTTCTTTGTTGGGATATAACGCTGAATGACTAAACTAATCGGTAGTAGGCTTGAAATAATTTTTAAGGCCATATTTCATGTAAAAATTAACTTTCAATAATGGTATGAATTTTTAATTTTTTTCTTGTTTCACAAACGTCAACATTTCTGTGTGAAGAAATAACAATTTGCAAAAAGTAAGCGCATAGCCGAGTTCTCCAGTAAATTTCATGCCAAAAAAGCCATACATTAGACTTGGGGGCGCTTAAGTCATCGAACGATAGTTTTAGAGCTGTGGAAAAATGGTGAAAACATGAAGCTGAGAAAAACGGGTTTGAAAGTTCGAACAGTGTTTTAGTTTAGATGGGGCTTGCCATTTCATCTAAAATGCTCCAGGGGCATGTGTCACTCCTTCCTCTGCACGGTCCCTCTGTGCCTTGGCCACAGCTTCCATCTTCCTTTTTTTGTGGGACATCTTGGAGGACTCGAGCGCCTTCACTTGGGCCTTCGCAACCTTCATTTTGGTGGCCCTCTCTCCGTATGACGCTTCATAGCTTCCTGACTGTATGCCAATTTCCAACAGAGCTTCCTGATTCGCTAGGACGAGCCACGTTACGTGGCTCGTCCTAGCGAATCAGAGCTTTTGTTTCGCCAGCTTGACCAATAAGAGCGTGCACAGCTATGTTTTCTACGGGGTTTTACGGTCTGTGAGCGCGATATCGTGAACAATGCTGCGAACAGAACGAAAGAGGGCGAGACGCACATTCCAACGAGGGGGGCCTGTCCATGCTAGTCCTAAGAAACGCGGAGGGAGCGCGCTTTGAAAATGGCACATTTTCGTGATCGGCTGCGTCGTCGGCGCGCACGTGCGGCCGCCAGCACGTCGAAAATAATTTATTTCGAAGTAAATACTTTACTTACAGGAATAAAATTTTTGGACAGCATTCTTTTTGAGTTGTAAAAGCTGGTCAGCCTATTTTCCAAAAATGTGACTTTTTTGAAAAAATCGCGATTCCTAGGCCGTGCCTCCCCTTAAAACAGATCCCGCGATCGAGCAACGTGACCTCGAGCAGAGAGAGAAAAAGAAAACCTCAGTCATACCGTACATCCACCGCCTTTCCCACGGACTCAAGAAAGTCGCCTCAAGATACAACGTGAATGTTGTTTTTTCCGCCCGCCACAAGCTCAGCTCTGTGTCGCAGTCAACAAACGCGCGAGAAATAACGATCCTAAGTCTCACAGCGGCTGCAGCATAAAACACGGAATGCAGTTTGTCGCCTGCATAGAAGGCGTGGTCTACAAGATTCCGTTTTCCTGCGGGCGTGCCTACATAGGACAGACTGGGCGTTGCCTCAACACAAGACTACGAGAACACCACAGTTCTATGAAAGGAACCGCTCACACGCATCTCGCGATGCATTGCCGGGATTGCGGATGCCAACCCCTGTTCAACAAGACTACAGTGATGTTCCGACACAACCACCAACTACCCCGAGAAATGATGGAGACGTACCACATAACAAAAACCGGATCCTTGTGTGTGAGCCAGCCCACAGTGACTTTGATGAAGAGCGAGATCGGCTTTTTGGATCTCGGATAACTTGGCCGGTTTTGCATTGAGTGAAAGAAGAAGCGCCAGGGCCACGGAGGGGCATGCCTGCACGAGCAGCAGCAGCATCAGATGTCTTTTCTTTTCAATAGAATCAGTTGCTAGTCCTGTGTTTCTGTGTTTCTCCTCTGTCTGTCCTTGTCCCAGTCGCGCTGTAAGTAATTATGAACTCTTACCAACTCGCCCAATTGTCCATTTTGCTAGAGAACTTTGTAGGTATCATTTTCCAGAAATAGCAGCCTTGTTGCACTCCTTGATTTATGAGGTATTTAACCTTGAAATATGTATTCAGGTCCAAGTTCTAGATCCAAAGATACCATGGGCAACACTTCGTGTTGAGACAAAAAAATTAATTCCGAGAAAACGGGAAAAGCTTTTCGTAAGATGCTCACAACAGCCTGGATATGAAACGTTGAATCAATGTAACTATATGGATGTGCACTTCCTGCGTGAAGTACTTGCAGTTTATGTTGTTTGTGACTTATAAATTAAGAAAAAAAACTTAAAAAACTATTGTTATTTCTTTGTTTTTAAGATTAGGGTCTCCCCTTAAGTCAAGGTCACACTGCTCATATGTCATACAAAAGACAGTCTGCAAGCACAAGTCACCATAATACCTATGGTTCGAATGCCGCTTGCCAAGTTTCTCCTCGAACTCATTGCCATGTGGCATTCGAAGCAGGGATCTCGCAGTGTGTATGCAGACAGTCTTTTGCATGATGTATAAGCAGTGTGACCCTGGCTTTAGTCTTGGGCAATCTCTGGTCTTTTCCGCACGTCCGGTGTTTTGACGACGGTCACTGAAAATACGACCTCTCGTTTCCAGATTCCACAAACCATCGAATGGGGTTCAGCAAAGCGTTTGAGATGATCCACAAGAGCTTGAGGCCTGCTGCGAATGGATCCAAGCAAGGTGATTATTGGTTACACTTGTTGTCGATTGCTAGCCCGTAGTCACCACCTCTGATGACGATGGTGATGTCACATCATCCTTCTCGAAAATCTTGAAGAAGTTTTAGGTCGTGTGGTTTGCGCTGTACTAGGGAACAGCAGGGAGCTGTTTCGACTGCCCCACCTCCGGCGCAAGCTTCTTAATTTCAATAACACTTTGGCATCTCTCGAGCCTCGAGTGTACATAATCTCCTAATGCCTTTTTTTTTTTTTTTTTGGGGGGGGGGGGGGAATACTTTTTTGAATGCGTGGGGAAAGCTTGTATCATGTTGAGGCCTCTAGGAAGCCAAAATCACAATTTCTGGAAACAGTCTGCTATTGCCTTCAGTTTACATTCGAAAGCGTCATATAAAAGTGTGCAGCACCTCTAATACAGCTTTGCACCTGATATATTGTGCAAAAACTTCCGCAGACAAAAAGTAAATGCTCTGTCTTTCAACATCTCTGACCTATAGGATTGCAAATGAAAATCGCCTCATGACGTAAGCATTGTCACTCGAGGATTACCTCCCGTGTAAGGAAAGAGGTGACACTTGTTTTTTATTTTTGCTTTCAGCCGAGGCGTTGATCGTGTATGTGAGCAGGGGGCTACTCTCGTCCATTGCGGATGCGCGTCCGGTCTTGGAGACCATTGCCAGCGGTCACAAGACAAGTGGTCATCGAGTGGTCATCAACACTTACGCCGTCATTGACGGTGAGCCGCTTTGGTGATGCCACAGAGCTTCTGCCTGCCAGTTTTTTAGTTCATGGATGGCATTGTCACAAGCTGTCATTAGAGTAAAGTCTACTGTTGTGACACCATCTTGTGATGTGATCGTCTTGGATATCTTGTCACAAGAAATCTATCGATGTTCGGGTGCCGTAATATCCCGAGTCATCGCCCATCCCCGAGTCATCGCCCACCCCATTTGTTGGGCCAATATCGATTTCCGAAAAAACACCGAGTCATCACCCACCCCTTCAAATACCCCAGCGCGGACTCTGCGATCCGCGAACACTCATCCTACCCGAATGACGCGGCTGCGGACCTTACAGTTGGAGGACGTCCGTGACAAAGTAAAACGAAGGAGGGAAAGACACTTCTTTTTGTTTACGCATTTCCTCCGTGAGCGACCCCAAAGTGGTCGTGTATCCGTGCGAAAAGAAAACGATGGAGATAACAAAATAAGAGTTTGTTAATATAACCGCGGAGTGTTAAGTCAAAGTCTGTCTCCGCCGAAGTTAGGACACCGCGAACCCGCTCCTTCTTCCCGCCCGTCGCGACCGCGGTTGTGCAATATTTTAGGCAAAGCCAACGCGTAAATAAAGCTTTGCTGGAACGCCCTACACAGACGTTTGCAGAGCGTCCCAACCGTGCATTGATAGCCCGCCGTGCGCGGACGCACGTATTTACGCACCAAACAAGAAAGTTGCGCAAGAGCTTGCGATTGACAAGGCGCTCGACTTGGCCCGACGCCAAAGTATTTGCCAACGCGACCGCCAGCTTTCCCGCTTACCCAGGATTGCTCTTGGTCGCTTCTTTGGTCCGCTCGCTCGCTCGCTCGTTGCGCCTGGTCGGTTATTCTATTTTCTTGTAGACTTTTCTTTCTTTTTTTTTTTTTTTTTACTAACTAGAAGAACATAGTGGTGACATTCTTTCACGGAACAAACGTTCGCGCTATATGCAGATCGCCGGTTTCTAGCGCGTATGCAAGCAACGGACTTCGCTATAGTAAAATATTCTTTCGTGAGCATTTTTTCTATAAAACAATGAAACTAAATCGGGTTTTGAGTTTGATGTATCTCTTGTGCATCAGTGCTAGATACGCAGAGAAAAATAGGCGGTTTTTTCCGCTTTTTTTCAAGTGTTTGTGCTCACCCACCGAGACATGGCCCACCCCACTTTTTTAATGAATTTCAGGCGGTAGGGGGGTGGGCGATGACTCGGGATATTACGGTACATACGGTAGAATGTTAACGGACTGTTGTTGCACCTTGTCCTGAGATTGCTGCAGTGTAACCTCGTGAAATGTCACTGAAGATATGTGATGTCTCATGTTGTTTTGCAGACGGCAAACCCATCATGTACGAGACCTCATTTCTAAGGGACATTGCAGAGCTCAACTTTGTCAAGTACAACGTGGCTGGGGTTTCAGCGCCAGAGCTAAAGGTTTGTTTATGCAATAGAAGTGTACATAATTTTTTATTTCAACTTTACGTAATGTCGGTTGTCAAGATTGAGTCAACAGTTGGGACCAAGGTAAATAACTAAAATGGTTTGTAAACAAAAAAAAAATTAAAGAAAAAAAATGTGCACTTAGGCTTTAAATGTGGTGGGGTGCCTAAAGGATGAATGCAATATAAGTTAGATTGCAATCTGAAACTATTTAATGTCTATTTGATCGTTTGAAATTGCGATCTTTTTTTATTCTAAGAGCTTAGCCCGCTTAGCTTTCAACCATTCAGTTGTCTTCATCACGAGACTGACCGAAAAGTTTCTGGTCTGCTAATCTTTCAAGTGTTAGTAGTAGTTACTGTAGCATTATTCAAAATTTGCCTTGCTCCTCCAGGGTGCCATGATTCCGGTGAACTCAACGGAGAATCTCAGCTTCACCATGGGGCACTTCTACTCGGCTCTGAGCTTCCACAAGCACCCAACGTCGCTGCATTTTTCTCTTCCCTGGTGGGACAACGTCAGCAAAGGTGGGCCATTGTTCCCGCGTCACCAGCCGTGCCTGCTTTCAAATGGCGATTCATCTTTGTTACTGAATTACCGGCGAGCCGAAAACGTAATCTTTTGAAGAATGTAATGACGACGCGCCTCTTCTTTTCTTTATTAAAATCATCTGGTGGGTTAGTTGGCTATACATCTTGGTAAAATTAGTGCAAAGACAAGAGCGGAAGATTGTAGGGACAGGATAGAGCGCTACTTACAACTGGCATTTATTGCCAAGTGAGACTAAGTGAGAATGACTGATGGGGATGTCGTCGATTTCAGATCTGGTAATCAGCATCAGCAAGGCGGTGGTACATCACGGGGTCCTGCTGGGAGTCGCAGGTGTGGACGTGTCTGTGTCGGACATTGCGGAAGACATAGTCTACTTCTCCAAGCGCAAGGACACCTACAGCTTCCTCGTGGAGCAATCGGGTGCGTTTTGGAGCTCGTGCTCCAGGTTTCTAAGCATTGTCTACCCGTGAGGTGGATGTTTCGGTAGCTTCATGCAATTCTGTGCCTCGTTTTGCAATGTGTGCCAGCAGCGAGTTGTAAGAAACGAGTTATCAGTGTCCCTCGGCTTTCTGACAGATGCGTGGAAACTGGTGTAGTACGACGTATTTCTCGACGACTGAGAAATCTGCATACTCACTTGTACTGATTCCACATTCAAGGCCTTCTGTTTGCTGTATATGTTGGAGCACTTTCAATACCAAGCACAGTGCAGCCCACTTATGTAACAAACTCTACAAAGATTATGGGCAAATTCGTTATGTCAGTGACTGGCGGGGGGTGTACCATCGGGCATTTTCAAACTTTTGGATCTCAAACTTTTCTGGGTCTCTTCACTAATGCACTGAAGCCGTGCAGAAGCAAACACAGACCTTGTAAAAAATAGTGCACATACCCATTAGGAAGATAGTTGTTTGCCAGCAGGAGAATCTGGTATGCTAGAAAAATGCATAAGCTGGAAAAAACATCTTGCAGGGAGCAGCGGCATAGACTTTCCATTTTCCCAAGGGGGGGGGGGGGGGGGGGGTGCGCATTACCTTTTTGCCAAAACTAGAGATTGAAGCTAACGAAAGCACGCTGGGATTCCATTTCCCATCTATTTTGTGAATTAAGGCAACATGGGCGTTATTTTGGTTACATGCCATGCCACTGCTAGAAGCTCGTTACGTGGCTCGTAAACAGCGTCTCGGTAAGGATCATGGCCCGGGCCCGAGGGGGCACAGGCCCCGTTGCTCCCCTGAAGTCTACACCTATGACTTGGAGGCAGAGACGGTCAAAGAAATTTGAAAGTTCAGGAAACCCATGAGGGTACCATATTTTCCGGACTATAAGTCACACTTTTGCATATTGAGCTGTTTTTGAAGAAAAGTCACACCTCTTTGCATAGTTTGCACAATGATTTTGTTTTCTTTTTACGCGCATTGGTAGAGCGAAATTGGAATTTTGCACACTCGGCTGGTTCACACGTAACATTAGACGTGCAACAACTGTGACGTTTTGACTCTCAAGAAATGCCCGTAGCACTGTGCTGTCTGGCGGGGGCAATTGAGTTTTTCGCAGCAAAAGGACGTAAAACGTGTCAGATGAGAGGCTGTTTGGCTTTTTTCAAGCGTACACATGCCGAGCAAACGCAAGTCTGACGTGCCAGACACTCGTGAACCAAGTTTTGAATTGCAAGGCCTAGCCTAGGCCAAGTCACAGAAACGACACCAGCATCAACGCACGGGCAGATGGATAAATCTTGACACACTTCTTTTGGTACTACTCAAAAATCAACTAGCTGCAACCTCTCCTTTTACATGCAGCAACATGGCTGGAGCATGGCCCATCAAAACTGCTAACCAAATGGAAGCTAAGAAAGACTCGAGAAAATGTTCTGCAATGCGTGTATACCAGCCCACATTAAGCAACGCCGGTCGCATGCTGTAAAAGCTTTGTTTTTATTGCCTTGCCTACCCACATTGAGCCGTTTTGGGCAAGCCGTCAAATTCCCCGCTTTCTAAGTCGGTTATGAAAAGTGTAAAAGAGTATGGCGACAGCAGTGCCTCCTGGAAGGGGGAATACCGCCTATGGCTACTTAGTTTCGGTGCTCTACAAAAGATGGCGCGCTGCATAAAAAAAAATGGCATCGCACCACAAAATCTTTTTGAAAAGACCCGCATATAAGTCGCATTGTTCTATAAAATGCATCAAGAGAAATGTTTGAAGAAAAAGAATGTGACTTATATACCGGAAAATACCATACTTTGGGGACTAAATAGGAAACAAGTTCTTGAATCTATGCCGTGCGTCAAAAACTTATTTTGTTGGCTAGATTTTTTTGCCTCGGCCCGGTTCGCTGGCTTGTCGTCAGCAATTTAAAATTCTGGCGTGGGTGCGACCGATTTCATTGCAGGGGTTGCCATCATGCATCCGTCGCTCACGAAGCCGACCCTGGTCTCGGAGCAGCCGATGCACACGGACATCCTTCACCTGGAGAACCGACCCGGGTTCCAAGTGGTTCGACAGGACCTGCTCAAGTGAGCCCTCACTTTTGTTTCTCTAAGGTTCTCGGAGAGTGCAGGGTGTGTGTTCCCCCCATAAAAAATATGTATGGTGTTTTTAATTGCTAAAATAAACTATGCATCATTGAACACATTTTTTTTTCCCAAATGTAATACCAGCGGTCCAAACCGGATGCCGAAGTTTCAGGACAAACTGTTTACTTATTGAAAAGTTAGAAGCAACTTTCTAGAATTCTGCAGCGGTTAAACGGTGGCCGCAAAGCCCGAGAATATGCACGGCTGAATGGTGCATACCGCCCAGAAGGAGCTCCACTTGAGCAGATGGGGCTAGCGAGGCACGTAGCCAGGGGGGGGGGGGGGGCCTTCCATAAGGCCCCCCCCCCCCCCCCGAAATCTTCCATTTTGCTTGGACCTCTTCCCCCTCCCCCTCATACAGCATTTTGTCATGGGCGGGCCCGCCCTCCCCTCCCCTCTTCCCCCACCCCCGAAACAAAATCCTGGCTACGTGCTTTGGGCTAACGGTCCCACAATGTCTGCTCGACAAACTAGGCTGTACAGAATATTTCAAAAGAAATTACTTTCTCGAGTTATCCGAATGATTTACACACGCGTGGGTGGTATGGTATACACGCAGTAAATGACAAATGCGTTCTTCTAAAAACACTGCCTGCCGGAAAAACAATGATTAGGACTGAAACTGTTTCAGTCAGTGATTTTCTAGAAAATTGTCATTGCGGAATGCACTTAAACATCCAAAATCTGAAAGAATAAAAAAAAAAAAAGAAGAACTCGTTCTTTTGCGACGACAGCGGTTCCAGCGGAGAAAACAAGTTGACGCTCGCATCCATGGTGGAGCCGTCGGATCGGACCGCCAACCTGGTCGAAGCGGAGCCCGTGGAAGACCAGTTGTCAGAGGTCGTCTATCACTGGAAGAGGGTGAGTGGCTACTCTATTCACTGCAGCTGGGAGCGCTCTCGGTTCCGGCTTTACTAGCGGCTACGGTCGCCAACGGAATGAGAGCAGCAAGGCATCTAGGAAGCTCACGCTGGGTGCTGGACACCCAAAGGACCCCCGCGCAGTTACCACCCCGTTGGCAACCCTATATTCATGTGCCCCCGCTTGAGCTTGGTCAAGCTCAGGTAAGCTCTACCTTTGCAAAGAAATGTGAGCCTAAAAATTGTGGGGAAATGGTTGGGCAGTAATGTTCACGGTATCCTCCCCAGACACTAAGGAATGTGACTTTTAAAAGGAGGAGAAAAAAAAATGAAAAGAATATTGGTGCAGTTTGCACAGTCCTCCCCTTCTGATATGGTGGGAAACGTGCCTCAATTTCAACTACTTTTAAAAGTTCCCGACACACCAAGCTTTCTATTTTTCTAGACACCGCCGGATTAACGGTGGGCTCCAGAGTCTCTTATCGGCCGAGAGAAATAAATGAGGTCGAACCAAAGTCAGAGTGTAAACACGGAGGTATGGTACAGTGGCTAGCAACATGAGCTAGAATGCACAGACGGCGACCAGGCAGTACAATCCACGCTGTAGCATGGCTACTACACGTGCATTGGAGGTGGGGAGGTATCTCGCACGGCGGGTGAGTAGACGCATTTCAATGCCTCCACTGCCGTTCTGACCCTCCGCTTGCGGCCTGCTAGACCGCACGGTCTATGCTGCCTGGTGACTGCTTGCGCATTCCCAATCATATTGCCGCCCACTATGCATCCGAGACTCTGGGATTTGCAAGGGTTGTTTAGCTCCCTGCCACTATGAGTTCAAAGTTGCTTTGAATCGGCGTTGATGTCACGAAAGTTAGGTAGTTATGTTTCTCGTGTTCCGATTGTATCATTATTAAAATACCGTAGACAGCTAATTGCTTTTAAAATATTTTGAGTTCTTTGTCGTCGTCCATTGGGAAAAAGAGAGCGCTGGATAGTGCGTCACATGCACTTAGTTGTCCAGCAGTGGTTTTCTTGGGGAAGAAAAATATATCTTCGTCAGGAAACATTTTTCTTTTTTTTAGCACAAGTTCCTACATGGGTTCCCCAAACTCCCAAATTTTCTCAGCCATCCCCACCTCTAAGCAAAGCAGTTTTCCAGTTTAACCCCTTAAGTGCCTTGGACGAGCTGAGCTCGTCGGCCATTTTTGGGCTAAAAATGCCATGGACAAGCTCAGCTCGTCCAGTGGTTTTTTCGGTGGCCCTCCATTCCACGAACGAGCAAGGCTCGTTCGTGTAGTTTTGCGGCGCTGATCATAGATGGCAGCACTCATATTAGTTGGCAAATATTTTTTTTGCCTCCGCTGATTTTTTTGTAATAAACTTTTCAAATTATGTGTGTAATACTAGAGCAATAAAAATTCAAAATGAAAAAAAAATAATGGCACTTTTAGGGTACTTTTGGGAAAAAAAATGTGGCACTTAAGCATTCACATGCGCAGCTACGTGCCGAACACCCCCCTAGTACGCATGTCGCCATTTGCACATTCGTCAGGCTCGCGCACCGCTTCATCGCATCACTGCCAAGACTCGAAGGGGTTCCTTGGCCAATCGTCCAGGAAGGTCTGAAAGTTCAATCCCTGCCAATCTAGACGTGCGTGAATGCCTCGGTAGAGGCCCTCCTAAAAGTCGCGAACCGCCGGGACGCCGGGACGGTCACTCCCTTTGTGTGCGCGTGTACGGTGAGATCTCTCAAACTCCCACACGCGCGTTTATTGCGGTCGGTCTTTCTGCCCAGGTGGAGAACACCCCGTACGTGGTGGCAGTGGCTAGCCTGAGGCCAGGCAGGCCGCACCCTACGCTCAAGGTGGGTGGCGTGGCGGCCAGCGGTGGCACCCGCTGCGAGTTCCACTACCACCGCCTGGACCTGGTGGCACCGCCCCAGCTCTGTCGCCACATGAAGCAGCTGTCCACCCTCTGTGAGTGCACTCGCTTGTCTGGCGTCCTGCTCGGTCTTCGTTGTCTGTGCAGTACGACCCGCTTATGACAAACTTCAAAAATATGTTCAAAATGTGTTTGTTATGTCGGGAGTGTCTTGTAAGTGGACAGGCATCGACGAGGGATGAGCCTTGCTCCGTTTCTTTTTTTTGTCTCCTCTATATGTGTTTGTTATAACAGAAGCTAGTTATAAGTGGATCTGTTGTAAACAAACTTGTACTTTCCTTCCTATGTGTTTGTTATAGCAGAACTTTGTTATAAGTGGGCTGGGCAGTACTGTTCCATCTACAATGATTGTCTCTCTGCCGTTGGACATTGCCATAGCAAAGGGTCAGCGAAGCTAGTTAAAGGAGTAGGCTAATAAAATTCCACAAACTACATTGAAAAAAAAAAAAGAAAGAAAAAGAGGTACTGATTGCAAAAAAAATATAATTTTGGCCTGTATCTTTAGAAGGGCCCATAACAGATTTTCAAACTTTGACATAGCCGATTCCAAATCTTAACTTTCATTCAGCGGCAGTTACTCGTCTGTTCTATGGGACCGCAGCTGCAGCACATGGCAACAACGAATGAAAATCTAAGTACCATATTTTCCGGACTACAGTCCGCGGACTACAGTTGAACCTCGATGTAACGAAGTCGGTAAAATTCGCAATTTACTTCGTTACATTGAAATTTCGCTAAATCGAAATTTGGCTTTAGCATGCGAAAAAAAATTCCGAAACATTTTACGGGTATGAAAACTCACCGAAAATGACATTTATTTAGGGGCGAAGTAGTCCGCGAGTTTTGCTTGCGCCTTGTCCGACAGTAGCAGCGGCGTCATACGGCGTTCGAGCGCCCAGAGCGCTTGCACGGCATCCTGCTGCCCATGCGACGCCGTGTACCTCCTCAGTACGTCCATTGCGTCGAGCACTTCCCGAGTGCTCGTGATCTCGGCAGTTTCTTCAGGATGGCGTCCAAAACGTTTGCTTTCTCATCCAAAGAAAGAACTTTACGTTCCCTTATGGCAGCAAGCACGTAAGTGAACCGCCCGGTTAAAAAATAGAGCTGTTTAGTTTAGGCAGTTTAGGCGGTGCCAATGTTTCCAACCTACGCAGCACTCTTCACCGCACAGTTTACTTGCCCCCTTGCCACCCTTGCCCCCACAGTGATGCTTGCGCCGCTTGCGCCCACGCTCGCAAGACGATAATCGGTCTTTTCGGTCTTCTCCTAGATGGCACTGCCCGTGCGGTCGCGCCATCACGTCGCTCCCCCGCTGAAGTTGGCTCCCGCGCTACCCGCGGTGCAGTGGAGTGGACTATGGTTATCAGTGAATGTCAGTGGTGATGCTGGTATGCCGTGTTAACTTTTTGCTCGGCATTTTCTGGCCAGCCTCGCGGAATCCGCTTTGCCGCATGCCTCGCCGGCGCTACCGGCGCCGCATCCTCGGGCAGCCTAGGAACGTTGGAAGGCCTGTCCCCGTGAAGTAACCTATCAAGCGCTCGCGTTTGCGCATAATTTTTTTTTTTTAACCACAATTTTTTTGCGAAGTTGTTTTTTAGAGTTGATTTATTTATTGCCTTCTATGGCAATGGCACTTCGTTATAGACTTAGACTTCGTTATATAGAGACTAAAAATACATGGGGTCTATGGGCAAGAAATTATGAAAAATAAAATACTTCGTTAAATCGAAGATTTCGTTACATTGAAGTTCGTTATATCGAGGTTCGACTGTATATGTGTTTGGAAGCTAAAATTTGACACTGTGTGGACTATCTATAGGTGCGGACTGTACGGGAATTTTGTATTTCGAGATCATTCATTATTATGAGACATGACAGATTTTGTGAATGAAAGAGTATGTTAATTACGATTTATATATAATACAAGCTTCTGTTCGAGCTAAGAAAGCAGACGTTTCTCAAGGTGTGCTGTGTACTATAAGATTTTCGTGTCGACTAAATACCAGGTGCGAACTGCACGGCGTGCAGTCTATGCACTGGTGCAAACTATCTAAGCAAAAACATTTATTTTTGAGCCCAAATTCGCCCCTGCGGACTATACAAGTGAACATGCAGTGCGGCGAAGCCAACTCCGACACCGCACGTTGGCGTAAAGACGTATTGGGAGACACGGCGGCTCGTGTTTGCTCATTTCAGCGGCAAGCACGCTGTTCCTCTCGGCGGGCAGCTTCCTGTCGCCCTTCGAGTACCTCTCCCAGAAGGAGACCAAGCAGATGGTGCAGGGCTACATGGCCTACCTCATCGACAACACCATGTTCATTGCCAACCCAGGGCTCAAGGTCAGCTAGCATTTTGTTTGTGCACCGCTCCTGCCCCAATTTCGGGAAGCGGTTGTGACTCTTTTCAAGTAGACTTGAGACTATTTGGCAGAAGCAAATATGCTGGCGATTGCACGTCTTTACTGTCAAGGTACAGTAGTACAATTCCTTTGCATAAAATTCGGTCTACACTATAAACTTCTTTTATTGCAGATTGATAGAATGAAACTAGGGATGTAGTAAAGTGAATGTATGCTTGTACTTCTGGTATGGGCATTTGAAGTATGGATGTAGTAAAGGGTTCTGGCAAAACTGACTCTGCTGTTGAGGGGTTCTAGTGTACCAGAATGGCATTGGTGCACTGATGCAACTTTCCTTTACAGTAAAGTTTTTGCAAACTTGCAATGCTGGTGTACGCAGTTGAGGTATTCTTATGGTAATGATGCTGATTTATACTGCGTTCACCCCGAACGTGACAGGGCAGTGGGAACTAAGTGTTTGCCGAACCAATAAACTGCCTCTCTTTCGTCACCTGACCCTGCTCTTTGTGCATGAGATACTGCCAGGACCATGGTCTTGTGATGAAAGACGGCATATAATTGGTTCAATGAGCATGTAGCATGCATCGCCTTGTCAGCTTAGCGGAGTATAGGAGATACATTTTTCATAACTTGACTCTAAGGATTTGCTATAAAATATTGGTTTCTATGTATTTACAGCTTTCTTGTTTGTATACCCAAAGCAACATTCAAGAAGTGTGCTCTTTGATGTTCCAGTTGTAAAGCATCTTACTAACTATGAAAAAAAAAAAAAAAAAAAAAGGAACATGCTAGCATTGCGTCACAACTTCGTCGCCCCGCCCCGACATGCCGATTGTTGCGGCAGTTTTTATCCTTAGTGGAGTTGTGTGGGCTGGGGTGAAGGATGGCATATCAAATGATGAGAAATCCGTCCTTATACTGAGAAGCCGTAGCCCTTGCCGGCTATTGGCCTTATGCTGGACCGATCCTATGTCTGAATTCCCTTTAGGTGTCGCATTGCAGGGTCGAGGTTTTTGTGCCCATCACTGAATTTCCGTCAACGTTCAATTTACAGCCGGACGTGAGGGAGGAGGTGTTGGCAATTGCACAGATCACTCCGGAGTGGAAGAAGACGTTTGAGAACAGCGAGTTCACGAAACATGTCGTGCGGAGGTAAGCGATTTTTTTTTTTTTTTTTTGCTACGGTCTGTGCATTTAGTCAGTAGCTACAGACTAATATTCGCCCGCAAGTAACCTCATACCGACTCCTGGATATTTTAACGCAGAATCTGTTTTAGGGCTGCCTTCCAGGCCTAGAGAACCACGAAGCGTTGTGACGAAAATGTGAAAGCACTGCCAGTTGTCTTTACAAAAAACACGGTTTCCCTCGGCGCAAGTCGAACGACTGACCTCTCTCTCGGTAGTCCTGTACCCTACTCTGCTTTACTAGTGGAGCGGCGCTTTGGTTGGCACGATTATAGTTGGTGCGTATGTACTCATGTTGCCGCAAAAACACGCTGCACATTCATTGTCACCCGTATTAACCGGTGTGATTAAGGTGCCATGTTTAGATATCTGTCTGACATCGATTACCGCACATAAATGCAGTTAAACTTCGTTCCTGCCTTCTTCATCTTCTGCCTGGCAGTTTTATCCCTTCTTTATGTGCAGCTCTCACCAATCTTTTACCTTGCTTTCTTTTGGGGGGTGATTAATAGAACTCAATGCTCCTAAGTGGTTTTAATTGAATTCATATGCCTGAAGTTCTGCCAATCGCTGTCGCAGTGTGGAGACCATATTTCTAGCAGAACCGCTTTTTGTCGAGAAGCGATGTCTGAGAACTGCCGGGCATGGAAAGAGCGAGATTGGTTGCAGTTCGTGCGACTTGGGGTCCACATTGTCCGCGGCGACACAGGTATGCGGCCACGTCGTGCGGAGCCCTGGTGGCGTATCCAGGAACCGTGTTCGACCGTAGCTACGACCCCACGGAGCGGGATTGGTACACGCGAGCGCTCGAGCACCCAGGGAAGGTGGTTCTGACGGCGCCTTACCTGGACGTTGGCGGCGCCGGCTACATTGTCACCCTCAGCCACACCATCTACCAGGCCAAGTGAGTTGCGCCGCTTTGGCGTGGGACTTCTAGCGAATTCACCGATTTTTTTTTTTTGCTAAGTTTGGTAAATAAGCCACTACAAATTTGTGCCAAAATCTCTATTTATCAGGCAATTTTTAAACGTTTCTGTAAATTTGTTTTAGTAGATGAACCCAATTGAGGACCATCTTTGGAAATTTTAGCGTAGGGTACTTTATAGAGAAGTTGTATTTATTAAAATTCATTTTGTGGTGCACAATTTGCTAAAAAAAATTCTTTGGTGGATTTATCAATTTTCCAAATTTTTCATAATAATTTTAGCGAATGTACATGTTTTTTTTAGAAATTTGATTAATATCCCACAACAAAATCACACCGAAATTTGTAAAGGTATCGAGCAATTTTTCTGACATTTTGGTCAGTACATTGCGGTGAATGGACCAGAATTACTATTATTGGAAAATTGATTTGTTTTAGTATATTCGTAAATTCGCACCAGATATGTGTTTGGCAAATTAATTAATTTTGCAGGTTTGAAAAATGTATTAATTTACGAACAAAACAAGTTACCTGCTAGCTGGTTGTGGTCGAACATATTTTAAGCCATAATCCCGAGACTGGGAGATAACAAAGTACAACATGACAGCACAGTCTTAAATTTTGCATTTTTACCTTGTCCTTTGTTTTTTCCAGTCTCTGGGTTTGGCTTGAAATATATTCATTTTAGTAGATTCGTAAACTGTCACCAAACTTTTATTTGGTAAAATTCATTCGGTGATGTATTTTCTTTGTTTGCAAATTAAGAAGAATTTTAATTTGCTTTCAATGTTTGGAAGAGGCTGTGCTTTGTGGTCTGTTGGTTGCTTGGGGTGACTACAAAAGAGACCGACAAACGGTCTGCTTGCGTTTCCGACAGGCCAGACGCACTACACAGCACGTCCGACGAGGTGGTCGCTGTGATTGGGATGGATCTGACGCTGGGCTACTTCTACAAGCTGCTCACGGGCAACATGGACGTGTGCGAACAGGACAAGATTGCGTGAGTGCTCGCTCGTCTACAATTAACATTCGAACCCGTTATTCCCGGGGGATCGTAAGACCCGCTCTTCAGATTTCAATTGAAATTCGGCACATGTAGCAATGCGGTTGGTGTGAAAATGAAATGGAAGTGCCTTTATGTCTCAATGTTTGTAGGAGACTGTTAAGAGCTCAAAACTGACGTAACAACCTGGCAACCATGTGTGAACTCGCATAATAATCTAGTAACCAAGTACAACGATTAGATATTATTTGGTTTGGCTTTTTGACCAGAGCGAGTCTTGCGATAAAGACCTCGGAACTTTCCCAGAACGTGCTTTTAAGAGCCCGTGGGTAGTCATTCATTACACTGCCAATACTTTGTTGCTTGAGACAAAGACCCTCCTGGTCAACATGGCCATTTTTGCATGTCCTCTTATTTGTCACGGCTCTCAGTTCTGCAAGTTGTGGCACACTATAGTCAGTTACAGGTTAAGAAGGTAGCGGCAAATGCCCCTCAAAGGGAATCAGATATCCCTCCGCCACCTCCACATCCAATAGCATCCCACCGTTTCCGTGACGTCGCGGCCAACGCGCGAGGAGGGTCTTGCCCTTTTGTACATACTTGCTTTATCTTTCGACTTTGACTTAGCATTGTGGAAGCCACGAGAGGGAGATTAGAGTTCTCCCCCACTGACGGAAACAAATACGACTTTCGGGGATTAGCTTCCCCCCCGATGGATACAAAGGCTGCTTTCAGGGGCTCGGTTCCTCTCCGATGAATACAAAGGTCGCTTTCTTAAAAAGTGGGATCGGAGACAAGTTGGAATCCATTGAAGCGGAACAAGGAGCGTTTCCAGTGAACTCTTCTTTCGACTGCGGAGGGATTTGAAACCGGCACATCACACTTGTGGGAGGAGCTTCTCCTACCTTCTTGACTTGTAACCGACTATAATGGGCTAACGGTTTTCAAGGTATCCTTAAAGGGGCACTCGACACTTTAAGGATGCCTGCTTTTTGCAGAAGCTTGTTTTTGATGGCATATCGTTTCTTGGGCTTTAGGCTATAGAAACGACCAGTTCTAGATCGCAAGACGTCCTAGTAAACTCGCAGCTTTAGAATACACGGGCACGATTTTCTCTTGGGGGGGGGGGGGTGCCATAGTTGGGTCCCCAGGCACCTCCATAAAATTTGAACAATGAAAATAGTTAACTGCATGGAGATTCCGAACTTTACTATGATAGCTCTTTTTAGGTGCATTGTGCATTATTTTGACAAAAACATTGAATCTTTGGGTTAAGAGACATGATACGGCAATTATTGTTTGAAAACGCCGTCTGATGGCGCCTTCAGTTGTCTGCTGCAAGGCGCAGAAAGAGGTGCGCGTCACAATCTTTGGTTAGCTTTTAATAGGTAAATTGGCCACCCATAAGTATAATTTTGGGGTTTTTTTCAGGATTCTTAGAGCCCGTAGATTGAGTTATCACCATGAAAAGACGACCTCAGAATCCACTTGTGTGCCCCTTTAAAATTTAGCTACTGAGATTTGCAATTGAGGATGCAAACTCTGATTTCGAAAGGTGGCAATGCATTAGTGGTGCAGTTCCATCTGGAGCAGGGAGAAGATGTAAAAAGGTGGTGTTTTTTTTTTTTTTTTCTCTGTAACCTGCAGGTGTTTCATTCTGGACGACCGGGGCTACCTCATTGCGCACCCAACATTGATGGAACCTTCCGTCAGAGCGCTGGAGCAGCAGCACATCACACACAAGGTTGGTCTTTACCCAGTATATTGAAATGTGTTTGAACATGCAGATTTTGTCTACAGCTTCTCTGCTGTTGTCTCCTCTAAAAAGACACATACAGTATTTACCTTTGCCGGGAGTTGTACTGAAATCCATTGTACGAGGATCAAACTACCCTGAAAAAGTATTTGCAGCTAAAAAATCTGTTGTTTTCTTTTGTTGTTGTTTTTATTTTGCACAGAAAGTGCAATTTGAGAATTGGGTGTGCAAGTCTGCTTTCACTGCTTGCATGGTGACATCAAAGTGCATGAGATAGTATTGGAGTTCTAGGCCATACCAGGTGCATATTCATTTATGAAAGTAAGAGAATTCTTAAAACATGACTGATGACCGCTAAAATGTTACAAGACACGCTGATTTACAGAATCTTCTAGTGCATAGTCACAGGGACTGACTCCCCACGACCTCTGTCTGCTGTGGGTGAGTCTAAAAGGGGTTTATTTTGTGATATTGTGCAAAGTCTGAAAATTGTTTCATGGCCCCCTAAAAGTGTTAAAACACGAAAATTAAAACAAATAGATTGTTCTTGAAAATAGTTGTACACACTAAGTGCCCTATGAGCACTCCCTCATAGGCTACTTAGTATATGCGCCAAGTTTTGCTATTTTTAGAGCTCTAGTAATTTCAATAGTCAATTTACGAATGTTGATCATTTTCATCTGGTGACTGGGCAACACTGCTCAAGTTAATCACACCATGGTGCCCATAAACCATGTAATCATGAGGTGTAATTAGACACTCTAGGCGACTCTAAGCTCACCTTGCCACAGCATGATCGCACATTCCACGCTACTTTCGCTCTCGATCCCTTACCCTTTGACCTTTCACCCTGCGTGCATGCGCCAGATCCTCGAGGGTGGCAGCTATTTCGTACACAACGATCTCCTCGTCGCTGGAGCAGGTCTCCAGAGGGTCGAGGTCAAAATGACAATCCGTCTCATCGCTGCTGCAATCGATGTGGAAGACTCCGACAAAGCGAGTTATGCCCTAGACGACGACGTCGCGAAACCGCGTGCTCGAAACGTGGAAGGCGAACGCCTAGCGTGTTTCCTTCTGCCATGTTTGGTGGTCACCAACCCACTTGACATGGTGGCCTTCCCGAACGTGGTGAATTTGAGGGTCCCGCGTACAAATAGATTTATCCGCAGAACCATTGCGCCCGTGTTAAAACAAATTTAGCAGAAATGTAGGTACGTAGAACGGGTCCTAACAGTACAGTTATCTCGTATTTTATTTTTGGCGTGTCCTAACCCCTTTAAATAGTTTTGGGCGAGGCACTACTCGCCTCCAGATGTATCCAATTTGTGAAGGTGGTCGTTTCCCCACGGCACGTCTGCAAATCCAAATGCTTTGGGGGCTCGTCCACCGTCCACTCCTTCTACGACGACGGCTGTTAGTGGGAACACCCCCCAGGGAAACTGCATGGTTGTTCTTCGCAGGAATTCCCGGCAAAGTTGTCAGTCGCACAATTGTCATCGAACTCATGGGAGATCAAAAACATTCCTCCGTCAAGTCGGATACGAACGGGAGACCGCAATCCTCCTCTTCAAAGTCAACGGCCGTACCATCTGAGCTATCAAGAGGGGCAAAGTTCGGCTACAATGGTTCAGCGTCTCATGTGCCTCGAACGCGCATGCGACGCCAGAGAGCAGCAGAAGGCAACAAGAGCACGCTGGATTCCGTTCTAGAGAGGCGCCCTGCACGACTATCCAAGCGGACAAACTTGCGCGCCGTGCTGCTAGACCTGGGAAAGTTTGTAGCGAACCCAAAGAACGCGAATTTCAGTTAGTACGGCGCTTCGAGGAGGCTCATTGTATACGAGGTGCAGATGAGACATGGGAGTGAAATCGAGAGCGGAGGCAAAAACGGCGCAAAAACCCTCAGAATCGTGCTCGGGAGGCAGCGCGGGAGTGACTAAGGCGCAGCAATCTTAGCTAAATGCGCTAGCTACGAGCCACTCTCGCTGTGGTGCATGTTACGCGGTAGCGTAAAGGCCCTCAAATTATTTTTTTTTTTTATTCCAGGAGCCACTGGTAGTGAGCGACATTGTGAACCACAAGGGCTTTGTGAAGAAGAACGAGTGCAACAACTATAGTGACTGGACCATCCAGAGGTCTTACAAGGTGAGGGTGAACATCCTCTAATCACTAGTGACAAGTTGCACTCTCCCATGAAAAACGTGCATCCGTGGTCGTCTTTTACTTACGAACTGTTGTTTCAGTTCAACACCAGCCTGGAGGGTATCCTGACCAACTCGGTTCACGGCGAGCACTGTGGAAGGTATCAGGTGTGTGTGGTGACTGTCTGTGTCATATTTTTCGAATCTCTTTCGTTAATCAACCTTGGAAGAGGCTGTTTTTCTGCCAGATTTTAAACGTGACGGATTGTGTCTTTCTCGAAACGCCCAGATCACGGCCATTCCCGGGACCAACACGTTCCTCGGCATTGTGAACCACACCTGCGATTATGTTCGGGCGTTCTGTCCTTGCAGCACGGTAAGTCTCGTTGATTGTTCAAAAACTGACTGCACGATCCTAAACGAGAAGTGCTCGTGGAAGTAGGCATTGATAAAGTATCGTTATAGGTACATTAGAACATTAGAACTGCAGCAAAAAGATGCACGATCCGGTCAAACGTAGCGATCGACAATGCTCTTGGGGGTGGGTATAGACTAGAGAAGAAGCAACTCTTACCCAAAAGTTTATTTTGTGCAGACTTTCAGAGCTGTGAAAAACTACCCTATTTATTCGACCGCTAAAACGGCCTAGAGCTGTTTGTGCAACACTCAAAGTAAAGCAAATACAAACACAAATAGATTCTCTCCTGCATCAGTCACTGCTCCTAGCACGTCGGTGCAAAGCAGTGAAGCTTGATGCGAGCAGCGCACCAAGCGTGGGGGCACATTGTTAAGATAACAATTATGTGACCTTACCAGGAGTATGAGACTCTGGCTCTGCCCTATCGCAGCAGATGCCACTCAACAGTTCTCAAAAGGGTACTAACCTCGCGGCTATTCAACTTGTTGCTTACTACGTCGCAATGGCAACGCCTCATCATCGAGAAGTTTGCACGACGAAGTGGCGTCAAAGAGCCGGTTTTCGCTAGGGGGATGTGAAATTGATGTTGTGTACGAACCTCTTAAAAGTGAGAGCTTTCCTTCTCTGCAATGCCATAATCAAATAAAACTTTTGGGCTTTTTTGCTAACTGAATTTCTTCAACAAGCTCCTTGCTTCCTATCGTATTGATTGGATCGAACCACCAAATGCCTGTTGTCGGTGGTGCTTTGAACCGAAGTGAGGTCGGGGTAGTTTGTTTCCTTATCGTGATGCGGTGCCCCCCCTCCTCGTTGTTTGAAACAGGTGGACCGCCTATGCCTCAACTGCCACCGCATGGAGCAACGGGACTGCGAGTGCCCGTGCGAGTGCCCGCTGCAGATGAACCTGTGCACGGGGGACCTGGCCCACGAAGAAGACAGGTGCGTCCCGATGGATTATTTGGTGCTTACTTCAGCGGCATTTGGGCCTATTCACACATACACCGCAGTGCTACCTCGTTGCTGTTATGTCTATGCTGCAAATGGTGCTGACCTTGCTGATGCAGTGCCGACTTCGCACTATATTACAACCGCAGGTTTGCCTGATCACGCGACATGCTTGTCACGTAGAAGTGTTGATGAGTTGCATGTGCCGTGGTATTAGGAGGACCCGGTTGTTACCTGTAAGTCGAGGTTCCGTACGATTGTAACGTAGTTCGTCACACATACAGTGGACTCGGTCATGATGACCATGCTCATTCCTGAACTAGACGTGACTCCAACCAAAGTGCTGCCAAGGACGGGGCCCGGAGCTTTTAGTACTTCATTCAGCTGGCGCGGCACATGAAAGATGCAAACCATCTGACTTGCATTTGAGAGACAGTAAGTCAAACTAAGGTTGCGAATCAATCGGTTACATAATGGTTTTCTGGAAAAGGTTCGAAGGTGAAGCGCAAAGACAATTTCTCTTATTTTTAAGGTGCTCAGGCAATTGGACATAGCTAGTGTGTAAAGTTTATTAACTGGAGCTTTGTAATGGGCAGCGTAGAAAAGAAATGGTGACCAAAATGACTATAAGTGGCTTTTGCTTTAAATTGTCCTTGTTTGTTTCGTTCTCCTGTTTCTGTTGTTTCAGGAGCAGCAGCTGCCCCCGGTATTCGAAGGTGCCCCTGCTGCCCAAGCTGGAGAGCTTCCATTTTGACTCCCTGCAGCAGTGCTTCAACAGCGAGTGCACCTCAAGGCTCAGCGAAAAGTAGGCTGCTGTACACTTTTGCACCGCTTGTCGCTCAGACAAAAAATGCAGAGTCACTAGGCTGTGGCAACATGTGCGGCTTCCGATATTCAGCAGAAAAAAACTGCTGCCCATGCTCAGAATGTGTCCCTCAGCCTAACAGTCAAACAGGGCAGCTTCCAGAAGGCAATTGTTGGAATGGTCTGTTTTATTTGTCTGGGTTTGGTATACTTTTACCTTTTACCCCTTCCACAGACCTGTACCAGATCAGTATTGTGAAGAGCACACTGTTGTGGTGGTTATGATGATGATATTTGGACGATTGAATCGTGCAGATTGAACGTGTCATGCATGGTGGAATCCCAACCTGCTTTACTTTTGAAGTAGACTGAATAGGTAGATTGGTTCACTTTGCAGCGGGAAAGTATTCACGCTTCACAAAATCATTGTTGTCTAGCTCAAGAAAGTGATGTTAAGACGTGTGCACATTTTCAAATCATTCATTCATTCATTTCTTATTTTTTCAGGGGAGACCCTGATCTTGAACATTTTTTGCCATTTTTAATCGGATTTATACTAAATTTTCGCATCTACTAAAAGTGTTTGTGCTAAGCTCAAACAAATATATATGCTCATTGTTTTCCTATCTGTTATAGTCATCAAAAAAAAACCTCAACCTCATCACACATGTTTCTGCCCAACTTTTTTACAATACCTATGTCCATAAAACTACGTGAAACGAAGTATGTCAGCATTGATGATAAAGCTAATAGTAAGCAGGTGAGCTGGTTTAGATTGCGCATCGTTAAGATGGAAAAAATGGGGATAGGAGACACGTCTCGTTGAGACGTGTGTCCTGTCCCCATTTTTTCTGTAGTCTCTGGTCTTAAGGATATGACAGCATGTTCTAAAAATAGTAGAAAGTGCAACAACACTGTTTTTATAATTTTAGCATTGTTCTTGGAAAAGGTATTACCGGTTGATATTTTTTACTGATAATTAGAAATGAGTCATTGCCAATTAGAAAATTGTTAATATGAGATATTCTAATTGGTCTCGTTGTACTACCCTCTAATTTATGAGGTATTAAACCCTGGAAAAAATATTCAGATCCAAATTCTAGATCAAAAGAAAAGTCAAAACTATGTTGCGACGAAAGAGTTAATTCCAAGGAAACAAGCTTTTTAAAACATGCTTGCAAGCAGCCTGGATATGAAACTTTGAATCTATGTAATTGTACAGACGTGCATTTCCTGAGTGTCACAATACAGTCTAAGCTCATTACAGCAGACCTGGTTACAACAGACATTTGGATATAACATACGGATTTGTGGAGTCCTGTTGGTTTTCCTCTATGTACCATTGACTCTAGTTCATATCTGCATACAACATACATCTTTTACAACAGACCGAAACCTTGGTCAAAATCGGGGTCTGTTACAACGAGCTTAGATTGTTTGTGACTGTGTCCGGAATGACAAGACCCCCTCTCATCCGTTCCAGGGACTGTTTCGGTGTGCTCGGGTGCGAGTGGTGCTCGCTTGACACGGACGGCATCACCTCCCTCAAGTCCCCGTTCTGCCACGAGCAACCCAAGTGCTTCGGCGGCGTGCTGGGGGCCCGGACACCCTACGCCGACGAAATCATAGGTCCCTGCCAAACTCCCTCCTGTCGTAACGTCTCCCTAATCGGGACAGTCGTTGCACCGGTTTCCATACCGGCGCGCGGCGGGACGCAAACGTGCCGAAACTCCCTTCGAGCGACTCTAGTACAATGCCCGGAATGCATCTCTCCGACCGGGATTTGTACTGCGTCCTCGTCTGTGGTCCCTCGGTTTCTGCCCGACGTCATGTTTGCGTCGCGCCGTTGCCGCCTTGGGACCACTTTCGACGTACGGGCATCACGAGATGCTAAACACTGGTTGAAACTGCGTTGCAGATAAACGTAACTCAATGCTCCGTCTCGCCTTACTATGGCTCGTGCAGCGCGCTCATCGCTACACTTCTCCCGAAGGTTGCGTGACGCTCGACGGTATCGGATGGGCTCGAAGTACCATTCGTGGTCAGTAGTAAGGTGAAACAGAGTATAGTGAGCACCAGTGTTGGGAAGTACTTTAAGTATGTTGTACTTAAAGTACTACTTCAAGGAGGTTTAGAACACTTGTACTTTACTTGAAGGACATTCTCGTGTGCTTTGCTTAAAGTAGTTTTTTCTGGTAATTTCCGAGAAAAATACAACTCCCCGCTTCAATGTAACATTACCCATATTCAATCTTAAATTTGTATCGCAAATTGGTGTTTAGTCAACTTTGAAGCCACTCGATTTTATCCAATACTCGTCCCCCTTTTCCGAAAATAACTGATGCATCCCCGATTGCACCTAAAACAATGCATACCTTAAAAAAAAAAATGTACAGGGGGATGAAAGGTTATCATGAAAGATTGAGTTAAAAAATAATTGTACTTTACTATGAAAGTACATTGTATTTATGGTACTTTGCTTCAAGTATGTTGCACCCAGTGTTCTTACAACTTTACTTCAAGTACATAACCTCTCGCTTACTTTGTACTTTAAGTAATTTTTAGATGTACCTCACCGAACACTGGCGTGCACAAGGGAGGCTCCTTGATTCGAGAAGCTTTCGCTCCGGGACGAGCATTGTGACCAGCAATTGGAGCGGCGTTGTTGTTGTTTCGCAGGACAACTGGAAGAGGACTTCTCGTCCATCCGGAGTACGCCGCTGGGTCCGGTGGCCGGGGGAATGATAGGGGCCTTCTGCCTAGTGGCCATCCTGTTCTACTGCTACAAGAACCGGGTGACGCGGTCGGGGGCGGCGCACTACGCCCTGCCGTACCCCGGAGATGCCGTCGAGGGACAAGTGTACCACGACGCGGACGACTCTGATCTCCACGGCGGGAACCCCAGCCCCGGTAAGGACGCAGCGGCGGTTCGGTAAAGGTGGCGGTGGTACGTCGATGTCCGACAACCACGCGGTGTGGGTCGGTGCAAAGCGACGGTAGCGTAAGGGCCAAAGATGGGTAGGCACGACTGATGGCAATAGAGTGGGAATGTATCTTACTAGATTGGTCGATCCAGGGTTGGTGGGGACAGACAAGTGGGAGGCTGACTTTGGTATGGATGTTTGTACAGTATAGACCACTTACAACGTAACCGCTTATAGTGCAGGACCGGGTATAACGTGGCTTTTTTAAACCACCGGTTCGCCTCCCATAGAACTTTACGTAATTACATACCGCCTAAAATGCAGGCGCGCGAAGGGAAATACCGGTTATAGTGCAGTTTCTGGAACAGCCTGCTGACCGCACGCTCCTCTGCGCGACACTAGAAAACGGCGCTAGCCGCGTGCTGCACTCGGCGGGGCAAGGAGGTTGCTCGAAGAAGCGGGGAGAAGCGAAGAGGGAGGCTTCAGTTGCCATAGCGACTGAGGGAGGCATGGACGTGTCGTAAACGCGCGTGCGTCCCTCCGCTGCATTGGAAACAACCGCAACGACAGACCAATCGCAGGTCGAGGAGAAGTGTTCGCGCGCATTGCATGCCGGTCACGGGCCGGCTGCTTCTATCTGCAAACATGGCGTCGGTTGTGATCGTCGCTCATCGTTCCGCGTAAAAGCGCTATCCTTGACAGTGAATTTTCGTTGTGTGTCGCTATGATAACCTAGCACGTACTAGAAGGGAAGATCCACCTACTCGTGCGGCGATGTTGTGGCGGCACTCTCAAAACTGCAAAAACGCCCGTGTCGTCGTGTTTGTTACTTCGACTACAGTGGTGCTTTCTAAGCATTTGTGTTTTCAAACATCGCCCGGATTTCTTATTTGGAGCATTTCGTGCCTGTGCTCAAGTTGAAGGTATTACTGGCGCGTACCGTATAAAGGATGCGAATTTTCACGTGTTTTCATCGCCGGAGAAAAGTGATTAGGGTTAGCAATTCTGACGTTAGCAACGTCCGTCCGCAACCCGCGACGCCGTTAAAAGGCTGTGCCAGGCGAAAGTCGCTCATTTCTTTCAAAATGTGTGACACACTTGAGAGAGAAGTATGGTGAAATAAGGACTTTCCTCAAACTAAGCTTTATTTTTCATCCAACATAAAATAAATTGTTTTACAAAGGTAAGTTGTCTGATGGCATGTATTTTGGCCTGAAAAATTGATGTTTTGGTTATAGCGCGGTACCGCTTATAGTGCAGATTTTCGCGACTCCCGCGACATACGTTATATGCGGTCTACACTGTACCATGGAATGCAGCTTGGTACGTTGAGGGCCATAAGCTGTAAAGCGAGCACCGACGGCGTTAACGATGGCGGTATTGTGAGAGCCGACGGCAGCAGAGCGACGATTGGCGGTGGTCGAGAGACAGATGTGTTGGTACAATGAGAGCCACTTCTATTATTGTCGAAGAAGTTGGCAGCTCTTTGATGCGTAAGCATTGGGACGAGTGAACGGCAAACTTTTTTGCCTACCTTTTTCTAATGGATTCGCCGGAACACTAAGAGCCTATGCCTTGTGCCGCTTCATAGGAAAGCGACAGAGGTCCATGGAATGCAAACAGTGATAAATCTCTATTTGCATAAGTGTTCTGTTTAAATTTGTCGAAAGATTGAGGGGAGGCACAAATTTTCGTCTGGGGCAATCCCGAGAATCTGACTGTATCCGAAACACAGCTATGTGCTGATTGGAAGCAATTTTTTGCAGTTGGTCCCCTGAACATGGGATTGGCCGGATGCAGCTACGACAACAGAGCCATCGTCTCGCCTTACCGCGTGAACACGGCCTACAGGCGTCCCCCCGGCGGGGACAGCGACCACGGCTACAGCACCATGACACCCCACGAAGACTCGGAGCACCTGCAATACTTCGAGCCCCTGCTGCTCAGCAAGGACAAGGGAAGGTCGCCGCCTTCGCAGCCTTCCCTCAGCAGCCGCGCTTCCTCGCCCACCCAGCAGGGTGCGCCACCGGTCGTTGCCGGCTTTCCAGACCCTTCCATAACACGTTTGCCGAAGACCATGAGTCGGCGGAATTCGTTCCAGGCCAGGGCAGAGGTGCATGCGGTGGGAACGCGGTGAAAGCGTGCCGGGTAGTCATGGTCGCTTTCTGCTGCGGTTCCGTCTTTTGGGAGCGACAACACAGTGATGAGTGGCTCCAAACGACTTATTAAGAAATACCATCTTTGTGGGCCGAGCAACTGAATGACACAGGCTCGACGGTGTGCTCTACGGACATTGGCCGGATGCCTTTCAACGGCAGGACGCTGCTCCTAGTGGCAGCTCAATGACCTTTGAAGTCCATCTCGTCGTCATAAAGAACAACATCGCATGCCGTGTGCTTCTGGATTCGGAACTGAAGCCCTTCTACGAGTGTTAGATTGGTGTGGCTTGCCGAGAAGGACTAGCGGAAACCTACGGTTATGCCTAGGGTTCTCCCTCGAGCTGCGGTTCGCTGGGACTTGCTGTATCGTGTCGGTGGGTGCATGTCAGGTTGCGGTGCGGCCGATGGGCTCTTGCAGCTCGATGTGCTTCATTTGGTGTGGATTTGAATGATCGTGAGGTAGTCTCGATGTGTTGGTTTTTTATCTGAAATGAAGCGCGATTGAATGAGTGGCCACGGTTGCGGTGCAATCGTAATGTGTTCCTTTTAGCTGCTGAAGTTAGGATTGGGGTTTTTAGTCTGTGCTCTGAACAAACGTATGTGGCCAAATTTTGATGGCTCGAAGCGAGCCGACTGTACAGGGGACCCTAAAGGGGTGTCCAAACGAGATACTTCGGCAAGCGCGAAGTGACACTTCTCTGTCGTATGAAGCGGAAGTTAAAGCCCTGCAGCGCGTCTTCCGTTTGTGCATTCACCAGGCAAACATCGCAGCTTTCCTCCTCACTTTCTCTGCTCTTCTCCGACGTCGATACCTATCAGACCTGACGTCACACGCCACCTGCCAGCGGTGGTGTGCGACGTCTCCTTCCTGTTTTTGGGACTTGAACAGCAGCAGAGGCCTTGAGCGATTGACCGACAGCCGACAGAGTATCTGAGTGGCTGTCCAGACCCACGTGATGAGTATCCTCCGTGAAGGACAGAAGACGTTGGTGAAGGGAAGCTTTCTTCCCGGAAAAAAAAGAAACGGATGGAAACGGGTTGCCGCACTTCATGTGGCAGAGAAGTGTCACTCCTTGCATTCTTGAAGTGTCCTGTTTGGACAGCCCTCTAGAGGTGCTAACTGTGCTCCTTCAACCACCTTTGAACGATTTGACACAAGCTTTTTTAAGGTCCTGACAATTTGTGAAAAATGTCACCCCCCCCCCCCCTCCCTCCCTTTCTCCAAAAGAAGGGGAATAAGGGCGCCGGTGGGGAGTGACGTTTTGTAGCATTTCACCAAGGATTGCATTTTAATGAGTGAAATAGTTTCCTTTGAAGTTTGGGCATGTTGGTACACAGACATAATAAAAACAAAACAGCGCAAAGATGAGGATCCGTGTCCTGTCGGTTCCTCATCTTTGCACTGCTTGTTTTTTAAATAATTTAATAGGACAATGTTGCCAACTTTCAAAATGAGGAATGGAGGCCTTTTGGCCTTTGGAATGAATGTTTCATCAAGAGAAAGAATGTTGGGAAAAACTGCAAAAAGTAATTTTTCGACTTGAAACCTTCCGGTTTTAGACGTCTGTACTCCGGTATGCAGACTCGGCTCTAGCACCATAGGTTTACAAGAAGAAAGCTTTTCTTTTTGTTTTGTGTATATAGTTGGGTGTACATATCTGAAGAGCTTTGCACAAAAGTCTTCAATCTTTTTGTTTCACTTTTTTGTCCTGTAAATAAAACTCTACTCAGGTTAATTTTTTTTTTCCTTTTCGATGAATTGTTGTGCCAAGATTTTTTTTTTCTTTGCCTTAAATTATTCAGGAACAAATATATATATATATATATATATATATACATACATCATAGATACATACCCCAGGGCCATAGATTTTATCAAGGTGGCATCAGCCATGAATTGAGTATGTTTGGAGTTGTCGCTATGACTGGGGTGCTTGTTTCTTTGGAGAGCTGCGGTTTTTGGATGTGTTGGAAGTGCCGAAGGCGTCTTTGTGTTAGAAACCAAAAGTTGAAACAGTGAGTTGGGACGTACGACTGTAAGTTATTGTATGCAAACATTGTTACATACCATCTCTCTTCATGAGGCTGGCCCACTACCAATGTCGACATTGGCAGCCACTCACCTAACCCGCGCTATGCAATTGGTTTGCGGGGGAGGGTTCTCATACGAGTTTCTAGCACCTCTATCTACTATGCACAGAACTTTTGTTTTTCAGCATGCAGGAAATGTGCCTTCGGATAGAAACGGGGCATCTTTTGTAAATTGTTAGAAGCTCTGACAACTCAGCGGTAGGCTCGTTTCCTAGCACCCGTAGAGGCAGTTGTACTCAAAGTTGAACGATCTTGTTAGTCAAATGCAATTCATCGATGCAACGGCCACGCTCGACGAAATCGCGCGTGTACAGCCATCTGCCATTGAAAGTCACAACAATAAAGTATAGGTCATACACAACAAGAGGTTGATATTCGTCCATTCTTTTTTTTTTTTTTTTTATTCGATCGAACGACACAAGCAACGAAATACTCTTAAAAAAATACCTGGGGTGGCGTCCGAAACGCGCTAGACCGTCCTTTCAAAAATCCTAGAAACGTTTCGCAACCCTAAACGAGGTCGTAGCAATGCCTCGGTTTACGCCATAAATAAATGCGACACTCGGAAGAGAACAAATTTCGTTCCATACGCATTAATCACTTCATTTGGCATCTGCACACTCGCAGTGCCCATGCACAAGCTCGTCTGCACGAAACGCAACGGACGCGTGCCCCGGGCGCAATTTGTACGACACATAAGAAAGTTCTCGACGACGGTAGGACAGCGTTTTTCTTTTTGTCAAGCGTAGAAGCGTTTTCGACGCTACGAGACGGAAATCGTGCACTCGAAATTCGCACTCTTCTGCGGCGGCGAGCACATCTCAAGACGAAAGTGCCGACTCATCGACCGTCCGGGAGGATCTGCCGGGAAGCGCCATAGGGAGTCATGCCGGCTTGCGAGGCGCCCTTGTTTGTTCCGGACTGGAGGCCGATGATGGTTTTCCCAAGCTCCAGCTTCTCTTTCGTGAAGTCCCGCTTGTTTTCATCCGCAACCTTCACGCCGATTGTTGGGCCACGGTACCCTTTCTTTTGCGCCTGTGGAAGGAAGCGGACACCAGCGTTGAATGAAAGGGAAACGGGGAACCTAGTGACCGCTCCTTCAGGTGGGGGTAAGTACCAAGTTCCGTGGCAGAACAGACAACAACAAAGAACAGACCGGTATTGTTGTCGGTTTAAACGGAAAGCAGTGAAACTCCCCAAGGGTGTTTTTTGGTTGTGTGTAGGGATGCCGCGAACTTTTTTCGAATCGGAAGTTTCGATGATCGAATCAAGTGGTTCGAAAGATTTCGATTTTTCGAATTGTCTATATCGTAAAATTCGACGGAGGGCGAATTTTCGAACTTGTTAAGCTAAGAAGTTCGACGCTTTTCGAACCGTCGAACTTATTACGCTAAAAAATTCGATCTTTTTCGAACTTATTGCGCTGCAAGGTTCGACGCGTGTCGAACTTTCGAAATTGACTGACCAAAAAATTCGATGAATTTCGAACTTTCGAGCTTATTTATCAAGAGAATTCGAAAAGTTTCGAACTTTCGAATTCTGAAAAGTCAGAAGTTCGACGAACTTCGAACTTTTAGGGTAAAAGTTCGACGTTCGTCGAACTTCGAAAGACCGGCGGACGGTTTCATTTGATTTCAAGTAGTGGGGTACATTCGTAATTTTTTTTGCTCGAACTTTTACACGCGGTGCTGCGTTAATTACGAAAGGCAATGTCGTTTATTTCAATGTTCTGGCATGCTTAGGTTTAAAGAAAATCCCCGAAGGGGCGAGGAAGGACGACGGGTTTTTGACGATTATCGTTTGTGCCAGATTTGAAGCACACTGCAGCCGGAGCTATTTATGGTAGATATGTTATACTTTTTTAAAAATGATCTATGTATAGCCTAGGTAAGTGCCGTCTTAAGATGTGATTATTGTTATTCAACGTGAGTTTCGAAGAAATGTCCAAACATGTATCTGCATGCAATTATGACCTAAACTTGATATTTATTTTCGTCTAAGTTGTTTGAGGTATCGCATTTAAATTAACACCACAGACAGTACATATCATTGCCATCTGCAGAGTACAAAATAATATATTTATTGTTTTTTTCACGTTAAGGAATAAATTAACTCATGGGAGAAGATTTCTAATAGTGTTCACGTTCAGCACGTTATTAAAAGAAAACTTTTTTTTCGCTTCACGTTCCTGGGACGTGTTTCTTTTAGCCTGTACACATTTTGGTAAAAGAAACTTGTTTCGAAGTTCTGAACCTCTGAATATGCAAGAATAGAACACTTCCGACGAATTCTTGATAGTTTTTTTTTTTTTTTTCTCCTGCTTTTTATTCCCACATTTTTTTTTTTTTTTTGTTACTATTGGCACAGGTGTTTAGGTCGAAAAGACAGCTTTGAACTTCCGAACCCCTAAGCATGTGAAGAGCAGTGCCTTCTGACAACGAGTTTTTAACAATGACCATCTACGCAACCTTTTATGCAGTGAAGAGCGACAGTAGCTATACATATGCATAAATAATTTCAGATTAAAATAAGCTCGACCACGCCCTCTTTCCCCGTATTGTTTTCTTTAACAGTCCGAAATACCTGCAAGGGGGAGAAGGAGGCTGAAGCCCCCCCCGCTACCCTCTTTCCCCCCGTTTTTCCTCTTCCGACGTCACTCACTTGTATGGTAGAACGCTCCTCGACCTCGAGTTGTGTCGGCTTTAGTGCTTTTTGCGAGGCGATTCCTCCGTCCCAGAAAATAAACCTCCAGGACAATTATAAACTTCACCGGATCGGATTACTACCAGCGTGCAAGGGGTGGCGAGCTAGTTTGCCAGGTCGCTTCAAGGTTTTTCTGAGCCTCAACCTCCTGCTCGCCCCCGGCCGTTTCGAACTGGATGAGTCTCGTAAAACAGTGTGTTCGTGCAATCACTACTGCGTGACGCAGGTTAAAGACCCCCCCCCCCGGGGCTGGCGGTCACAATTCTGCACTGGCAAATATTCTAGCACATCCAAGACGCCCGTCGTCTCATTTAATTGCCTGACCAACTTTGCAGAATCTAGATATCACACCCTAACTTTTCTAAACTTGATTTTGTGAAAACCAGCGAGTCGTGAAAACGTTATTTGAAACTGAAACTGTGGAAAAACTTGAAAATCGGACTTCAAACTTTGAAAACTTGGATTAGAAAGAAATTCAAAATCTGCGAAGTTTTCTTCTTTTTTTTAATTTAGCGTTAAAAGAGAATCAAAACCTTCGAACTTTATGCAAAAAGAAATTCGAAATCTTCTAATTGTTCGAACTTCATGTCTATAAAAATTCAAAGCGTTCGAAGTTTTCGAATTTTTTTTTTACAAAGAATATCAAAATCTTCGAATTTATCGAACCTGAAGTAAAAAAATATCCGAAATATTCTAATTTTTAGAAACCGTGAAAGCTTCGAAATTTTTGAATTCGAAACTCCGCTGTGGTCAAAAGTTGCGAATTTTTCGAAATCGAACCTCGGTTGGTACGAAAATATCGAAATTTTTCGAAATCGAACTTTAGTTCGCTTCGCAAATATCGAAACCTTTCGAAATCGAACCTAGGGTGGTTCGCGACATCCCTAGTTGTGTGTTTATCCCACGAGTTTTGTTGAGCTTCAGTATTTGAAGAAGAAAAAAAAGCAAGAAAAGAAAAAACGAAAACAGACCATCCGGTTTTGACTGCTACACTTTCGGATCTGCTAAATCTGCTTTCGGGTGGTGTTAATCTGGAAGAAAGTTTCTCAAAATTTTGTTTTGTGTAGTGCCATACAGGTAGAAGCGTGAAGCGGACAGTTTGTTTCCGTTTTTCTTTGGCGATGCCTTTGTGACAAGTTTTGTTGCACTCCATTCATTGGCTTATTAATAAGGGTGCCTTCTACGGCTGAATAACATTTGAGAACACCCGGTAGGCAGGCCTACATTGACCTTTTCGATAAAACAGATTTGAAGTAAACCAATCACTGAACTCACCAGGCCTCCTAATGCAAACATGCAGTTCACAACCTAAAAGAAAAAAAAGTGCAATTCAGACGTTGAGTTCTGTCCACATTGGTTGCACAGAAACTGTATTACCATGTACAGGTTTTTCCTCTCGTAGAGGTCATTGACTTGGAACAGGTCATGGGATTTGAGACCGTAGCTTTCACAGGCTTTCAGGAACATCTCCAAATTCTCCCTCTGCGATGCAGTGGAAAATGTAAACTTCATGAAACATGTTTGATAGTGCGGTCATCAGCAAGCCACCTTGCAATTTTTCTAATTGTGAGAGTGAGTCGAATGAAAACCGTAAATTATTTTTTTGCTCAAAACTTATTAAAGGAAAAAAATTTTGATGTTTGTATGTTTACACAGCCTAGAACTTAGTTTGCCACAATATTATTATTTATTTATTTATTTATCGATACTACTAATCCTCACAGGAGGATTTTTGTAGGGTGGTACAAAAAACAGATGCATAACCATAGTGCAGAAAAAACAGTTATACAGAGGATAAAAAGTATATGAAACAAACGGAGTGGATGAGACATAGTATGTTCACAACATGAGCGCTTCGACATCATCCATGAACTGTTTCAGCGAGCTAGCGTGAACAACGTGTCGGGGCAAACTGTTCCACTCCTGGACTGCTAGCGGAAAAAATGAAAATTTAAAGCAATTATTTTATGCGTCTGGTCTCACTGCTGAATAGACAAGAAATTTTGCCAGTGCAGTACAACCGCTAGCCTGAGGTCTTTACGTTTACCACGCAGTAGTGATACACGACCGCAGACCGGTTGCGATGCTCATCCAAATCAAAACAGGCAGGGGTAAGGATTGAGTCCAGGATCCCTGGGTTCTGCAGCCCGAGCTTTCGCTCCACGTGCTTCGAGCAGGCGTGCACTAGCCCACTCGGCCACCGATACCTCCTACTTATTAAACAAAGCTGGTATACATCTGTATTATTTTCAACATAGCCTCCATTCCGCTCAGTGCAAGTATTGTGGCACTTATCTAAGCATAAATGACTAGAAAAAAAAACTCGTGAGAAGCCACGCTTGTGGAACCTCTCCATTGGTTTGGAAATGCTTTCCTCCCTTGAGTGGTACAAAAATATGGTAAATATGACTGACGTTGATAGGTGTAACTACTTAATCATCTGGCGCTCAGCGAATTTTCACTACGATGACTTCAACAGATGCCTGACCGGTAAGGAAAGTTTCGCACAGAACTTGCGCCACTTTGGAACTTTCTAGTCCATTCGTCCATTTGCTTGAGTGACAGACAAGCATCACAACACTGCAACTTCATTTGATGACGAAGTTCAATAGTTTTCATTCCCTCACTACCCACAAAGCTAAGAGCAAAACACTGTTCCTCTTTGGTGCACGACTCGAGTGGGACATTATTGGAAAGAAGGCTGCCAACTTGCAGAATGATGGCATCATATTTTGAAATGTTCTTGCAATGTTAAGGTTTTCATTTGACTCACCCTCATATATTTCTTCTTGTAAAGCATCATGTTTAGACTATTTGTACACCGCCTGGTTCCACGTCTTATGGTACACTGGATGCCACCAAAATGCTAGGCAGTATCAAAAGCGGGATTTGCAGACGTAGCCAAATATTCAAGCTGCAAGAATTTCTGTTGTGCACTGGGTTTAATTTTATTTTGGAAAATAAACTTAGTCATATGGGATTACATGTAGGTCATCAGGAGTTGCCATTGCATGTTAGGTGTGCACCTATCAACATGTTAGCAAAAAAAAAAAAAGAAAACGTTGGTAAGTACCTGTTTGAACGGTGCCTTCATTGTATTTATTTTGGGAACAGCTCCCGGCTGAAGTATGTTAATGAGCCTGGAAATAAGTATGACAATGCATATTATTAATAGCGCAATAGTCAAGTGGTCAACGGGCAGAGCGAATCCAAAGCGTCGTGGTCACAGCAGCCAAGCAAGAACCACCGCAGCGTTTCGCTTACGTGCAGAGCGCTGTGCCATCTTTCAGAACGTCTGCGAAGTCCAGCTGATCTTGAAAACCCTTCTCTGAATGTGGGGGCTCGAGGTCAAGCTGTGTCACTGCTCTGATCCAATCCAGTGCTTCCACGGCCCTGGGCATCTCAAATTTCGCTTGAGCCTGGGCACACGCCAGAAAGAACGGATCAGTATTCAAGATGGATCGTAAATTCATTATAAATGTTCGCAAATATCGTCAACGAATAGACGTCTTGCCGAGTTACCCGAGCATCAAAAGGAATGCTGGGAACGTAGGTACATGCGCTTCAGCAAATCTAAAACAAATGGCACTTCGCACGCGCGTTCCACGGACGCTTTAATCTGGTTATTTATTTCGAATCTTCTTTATAGGAAAGGCGAACACCTACGTTCCCAAGGTCTATTAAGCCGGTGTCAGACTGGTCATGCATCATACAAAAATACAGTCTGCAAGTCTGCAAACGTGAGTTTGCCGCGTGCCAATCTTTATCTCTGAACATGTTGTCATGCGCCATTCGCAGCAAGGATCTTTCGGTGACTCGCGTTCAAATCTGTATGCAGACTCTTTTGTATGATGCATAAGCAATATGACCCCGACTTCTGGCGAGTAGCTCTGTACCGATAAAGCTGGCACGGGCAATGCACTGCACGGCGTCGTGTCTTTGATAGACTGCGTTCAGGTAACGATGATTTCGGGTTTCAAATTTTACAAAGTAGCCCGTTTTAACAAAACAAGCACTCTTCTATCAAGGGCTCACTGACTGACTGACACCAAAGCGGCCTCCTATTATGCGTCAATCAGCGAGAACGTTTGAACATTGTTGACACCGCGCGCTACGGAAGAAACGTTTTCCAGTAAACGATCTCTGACAGCGAAAAAAAACAACTCATTCAGTTCCACAACGGTGCTTTCCATTTGCTTTTTTCTTCTTCTTTCAAGCCGCTTCGACCGAAAGTGGTCGTTTGCGAGTGAAGCCGCGCAGAACACCTCAGCCAACCAACCGGTCCGGCAAAAAAACCGTCCCGTTTGAAGCGGGTCGATCTTCGCGAAATGTGCCGAAGTGGACGGGCGCCTTACCTTTAGCATGCACTCCCTACTTAGTCCGTACGCTGGACCTTGGAACGCAGCCATTGTAGTCCTCAGAGCGGTCTCTCTCTATCTTGTATTTTTATTGTATTTTAAAATAAATACGCGCACAAACGCCGGTCGGCGAGAAGTTGGAGGATAGAGGGCCCCGATCGGGCTGGCGGTTTGCGGACTTGGGCGTGCACACGATAAGATGGCGGCGACGGTTGAGCTCGGCCAATCGGATTAGTTGTACCAACGGCGCCGCGGTCGACAGACCAATGGGAGGCCTCCTTAAAGGGAGATCGGAATGTTTGCGTCACCGGCTGCAAGAAAGCAACAAGTGTCCGCCGCACCGGCCGTGAAGGAGTGAAAGCGTTTGGGGTTTTGGGTTTTTGACTTGTGTCCCCTCTCGGTCGAAGCGGTCGTCGAAGCTTATGTCTGCTTATCTTTTAAAGTAAATAAAGAAAAAAAAAATGCCGACAAACCGGGGTATTTTACGCGTCGCTGCGCTCAGGTGCGTGGCTCGCGTTGGCGCGTGTGAGAGCTGCGGTCGTTAAAAACGTAAATGTGGTCGGTCACGGGAAACTCATCTTCGTTCAGAAATGAGCCAAGGTGACTGATCTCACCTGTCGGAAAAGAGCGTTGGACAGAGATGGCTCTTGAGAGGAGCTAGGATTGAACCTTTTTTTGAGTCGTGTCTTTGCTCGCGTCTAATTGATTCAACGAATCAGTTTGCGGCGTCTCGGTTTCCCGCGCAAGTATGTCACGGTCTTGAACGGTAAAGCGTTGTTGTGCGGCCGCATGGGGTCTGCTTCTTGCGAAATAAAAGACAAAAAAAATATTACCACGACCAGTTTATTGCGTAACTTCCATTGACACGATTGCGTCCGTTTAAATTGCGAGCTGACACCCGATAACCATGTATCAAATAACGTTTTCGGAGTAAAAAAGGAAAACAAATCATTTATTGGCACGCCCAGTTTATGACATAATTCGCAACGCCATGCGTCCGATTAAATACCGACCTGACGTCTTTTCGAGAATTCGGTGAGTCGTTTCTGCTCTCCGATAACGATACCCGATAACCATGTATCGGATATATCGCTATCGGAACGTAGGAAACGATTCGTTTTGATTTATAGTGTCTCTCAGCTTCTCGATCTGATTACGCTTCTGTACTTATTATATCCCGGTAGAATAATCGGTTCCCATCCGATTTTGAAAGCTGAGTCAAAGCAGATACGAACGACGGAACAGGTTTTGCGAACCGTCGTGCAAGGTATAAGTACGTCTTATCTATTTTCTTCTGACTAATCGGCGAAGGAGCGAGAAACGAGAATAAATTGACCGTACATCGACATGTGTGTCAAGTTATAAAATGTATCTTGGCGCAGCAGCGTGGTTGTCTCCGTTGATGTAGCGTCACGAAATCCCTAATCGTCCACATAATCGAATGCCAGCTATAAATCCTTCTTCTTTGTTTATTTTTGTTTTTTTAATCACTGCATTTTTTTATTTAATTACGTTTATACTAAAGTTTTATGCCCCCCCCCCCCCCCCCCAAAAAAAAAATGAGGCCAACGCCCTGTCCTGCCTCACTTTATATTGTTATTATAATGCAATTAAATGTAAAGGTGTAAACGAGCTGGGCAAGAATGACGAAAATTCTCGTCACCGTCGCCAATGTTTTTTTTTTTTTTTTTTTGCGTAAGATTTTAGTATGATTTTAAACCAGCTAGCCCAATTTGCTTTTTTTGCGTAAGATTTTAGTATGAACCAGCTAGCCCAATTTGCAGCCCGTTGAAGTAGCTGAGCGCGTGCCTGTCTAAAGCATATACTGTTGCGCCTTCAAAATTTGTTTTGTTTTGTTTTATCGTCAAGAAAAAGTAGGTTATGACCACCAGCATAATTCGATGACGTCACGTTTAAGCCACGAGGAAAGAAGGATGTTTTGCGCATTGTGCATACGCCCCGCAAAGTAGTTCTTCCGAGTTATGGTTGTCAGGGGAAGCTAGAGGCTATGCTTTTGGCTTTTGAAGCGTGTACTAGGTCTTGGTAAGATAACATAAATGTCTAGTCTGAAATGCACCCTACATGTATCTTAATTATCTACATAAAAGGGGAAAATTAGTAACGCTCCGCAAAAAAGACGAAGTTACTTTTCTTTTTCTCTCTTTTTTTTTTTTTTTTTTTTTTTTTTTACAATTTTTGAGGTGAAAAGGGGTATATCAGTGTTGGGTGTTTCGACGACTGGCCATCGACGACCATAATTTGGGCCGTTCCAAACTCGAACGTTTACGTGGCATTCCCCACCAACCGCACATAGTAAAACATGCCGTGCGTTTTTTTGGCGGCGTAAACGCGGAACCCAACGCGCAATTTGATTAATTGTAGGGGTCTCGCTTCTTCCTAATTATAGCCCTCTCTTCCTTTCTTTCTTTTTCTTTCCCACTTGCGCTTGTTGACTTTGGTTGGAGGTCGCCAAGGGCTGCCGCTGCCGACGGCGTTTTTTGCAGAGCCCTGCCGAGGAAAAGGAAGAGAGAGCATTTAGATGCAGGAAGTCTGGTCTTTCAGGCCGGTCAATGGAACCTCGGACGACGAGATCTGTGTCAATTGCATTCACGGACCCACTCTGGCATAGCACCAGGGTACATTTGTATAGCACGATTTCTTTTCTTTTATGTATATGTGAGTGTTCTTCTTTTTCATTTTTTTTTTTTTAGCTTTTTCGAAGACGGATTTTACGGTTGTGGAGGAAATTGTTGAATCGAATGAAAAATTAAGCGAAGTATCCGATCCAAACAAGCGTAAAAAGAACAAAAGCTGAATTTAATGTATAAACATTTTTGTTTAGGTGATTTCACAAATTTGATGCTGCACCATTCAAAGTATTTGTGCACATCTCGCTACACCGTTAGCACGAACGCGACATTGGCGCTTTTTCACATTCTACTTTAATTGTTTGTTTGTTTGTTTGTTTGTTTGTTTGTTTGTTTGTTTGTTTGTTTGTTTGTTTGTTTGTTTGTTTGTTTGTTTGGGGGGGAAACGGAGGGGGGGGGGGGGGCGACCGCCCCCTTCACTCTCCTTCAGGACCGACACTGTTCGAGTCACAGAACAAATCAATGAAAAGATAAACGCGCTTGCAATAAAAGACTTTATTGCAAGCCTAGTTCAAACAATGTTCGTATACGAACTAGCATCGTGTATTGCTTACATCAATAAGAACGCAATCAATTAATGCATTGCAAACACAAGCAAAGTCTTACAGCTTTCGCTTATGCTGAACGAGGTAATATATGCTACAATATGCTAGCTTTGTCCTTGGTCGTGCACGTGATCGCTATATAGTATATAGGAATACCGATGCCAAGCATCGTCGCGAAAGCGTCTGTCAGGAAAGCTGACGCCCGCGTCTCTATAGAATGGAGCTCTTTGTTCGGCGGGGAGGAATCCATCCCGACTTTTCAGAGATGCAGCTGTCTGGTTCTCGTCGCCGTGTCATATCGCGCGGTATACGTGCTCCGAGAACCACGAAGTCCCGCGGATCTTTTACATATACGTATATGTCGCCGTCACTGCTTCATGACGCCCTGCGCCGTATGGTGCACGACCAACCAAAACCAACTCTGACGTTCAGACAGCGTCAGATCGGTCTGCCTTTGAGGTGTGGTAGCTACACTGGTTTGAAAATTTTTTGCCAGCGTAGTATACCGCTGCTATCGCCTGGGATGTTTAAAGGAACCATAAAATGAATTTTTCGGCTGGGATAAATTGGGATTTTGCTAATCGAGTATCGTTTAGTGCGCCAAAAGAAAACTACGATAGTGGAAAGCCAAAAAACATAGCGGGTTATTTCGTACACCTCCTTTCCTTCGAAAGCTCTCCTCCTCTTCGCCGAGATGCATCCGCGGTGTGCAAGCGCGCCGGCCGGCCGACCCCAGCTCTCGCCAGCAATCAATCAATTATTGGACACGAGCACTGCGTCAGTCGGATGTACACGCTCTCGTCAACGACCAATCCGTCAACGGATATTTGAATTCGCGTTCGTGGCCAGTGGGCGCCGTGACGTCACTTGCGGATGACAGTTTCCACGAGGTGTGTTTAAAATGCACGCCGCAGCCCAAGCACGTCAAGACCACGTTATTTCGCATTTCGCTTTTGAGTCGAGGATTAAAGCTGAGGAGGAACTTGAAAAATAATTTCATGGGTCCTTTACCATGAAACGTTACTATACTCTGTTTCATACTTAGCGTGCAACGCTGTCAAAGCTACAAGCGCGAGCTTGGGGCTTGATCTCGTTGATCGTTTGCACGCGTTCTCGCGAAAGCAAAACCATAGATGAAGCCACGCGCTCGTGCCAGTAGCTTTGACAGCGTTGCACGCTAAGTATGAAACAGAGTATAAAGTCCGTTGCAACTCAAGAAGGTAGGGCGGGGGTAAAGCCTGGTTCAGACAGTTGCGTTTGACTGCGTTGCAGTAGCGAGAAACCAGGACATTCCTGCTGCTTATATCGCGTGCCAAGATGATTCCTTGAATTGGATTCCACGTTTCATACGAAGCACGGATGTGCCGGTGACTCGCTTTAGGTTCTCGACGCAACGCAGTCAAACGCACTCAAACGCAAGCAGGCGGAACGTCGGAGAAGAGGGGGGGGGGGGGGGGGGGGGGGAAAGCTCCTTCTCTCTTTAAGGTGTATCCACACGACGGACCGGGCCGCGGACCAATTGATCACGTGATGCCCGGCCCGCGGGCCGCCCGGCTGCAATGAGCATCCACACGGCGGACCAAAAGAGCAGACGACAGAGCGAACGGGCCGGTCTAAGCCTCGATCTCACAGCTCCGCCAAACGCAAGCAGCGAGCTGCTTTGAGGCTATTTGTAAGGAGCCAAGATGGAGGTTGAACGAAAGAGACGTTTGGCCGCGGTGGCCCTGGCGTTGACTCTTGAGAACGAGGAGGACCTAAGTGAAGCGAAAAAGGCACGGGGACATCTGTAGATGATTATTTGAGTAGTCGTCGCGACTATTGTCCCACAGAGCGGGGAATTGCTCCACGAGCGCGATCAAGTAAAAAGTTGCACCGTCGCACAACAAAAGGTTCGTCTTCTTCGTCTTCAGCAGTTGGCGCCAAAAGAAAACGACTTTGGATTTGGATTCCAATCCAAACAACAAAAGTCAGCTTGTTGCCAGACTTAGCGCTTCAGTTATACTTAAACGCCGCG